TGAACAGACTGACAACAAAACAAATTAGAGCAAAGAAGAATTAAAATAATCCTTGCTATTCCAAAAGGGCTCCATCAACTGCAATGGCTGGACCCCTAATTAACTCTTGAATCTCGGTGTCAGGGAAGATAATCCTGATTAAAAAGTGACGGAGGCTGGGGTAAGAACGACAACATAGCAATCAGAGATACCAGCCACGTTTTGGGAGATTAGCACTACCCGAGGGTGGGGGCCTTCCTCCCTTGTCACCCTTTGTTTATGGACAAAATCAATGGAAGAATAATGTTTTAAGGGTTTGATTTTTTTCAATCTGGTTTTTATATAAATGGGAAAATTGTCTTTGCCACGAAACCACTTCATATTTTTGTGGATTGTCAATGTTTTTAGTGGTTTGTAACAAAAGTAAGTATAGTAACTGTTTATAAATCATAGGAGAACTAATTTGAAATATGTTGGAATTAAAAATGGTCCCTTCCAAGTCTTGTAATATAAAATATGCATTATTTATCGCATATTTGGCTGTAAAGTTGTGTTGACCGGGTGGTCACTAAAAAATAGGGCAGCTGATTTGGCATATTTTTCAGAAATGGCAGGTCAACCGGGTTATTACTGGGTCTCATCAACCCCCTGCTGTGAAAGGGTCACGGTTACCCTGTTCATCAGCATGACATGTTACTGGCCTCGCCTATGAAACATGTCCCAAATGGCATGTTTTATGGGTGTGTAACTTAACACAGGAGTCAGTTCAGTTTATACCCCAATTTAGGATTCACGGTTAGAAGATTGAGAGACGGTCTTGTAACTATGAAGTCAATTATCATCAAAAGCCACAAGTCTTGTGAAAATTAGAGTTTGTTATTCCTTCCAGTATGAAGTGAAAACGTAAGCAATCACCTGTTAGTCCATCCAGTGAAAGAGGGAATTGGGTAAGCAGAGAAGCAGTAAGCACATGTTTTTTTTAAACGAGGCAAATAAGGTTGTTATCAGAATCTGTCTATTTGTCGCTGATACAGGGAGATAGAGTTGACACAGGGAAGCGGGAGCCAGCGCCGGTGAAATTATGCTTGCAGCTTGATGCTCCCAAGTAGGAACTAAAAGAATAATGCACTTCATACACCATATACCTGGATATAGGAGAGTCTCAAGAAGCGATACTTGACAAAACCAAGCACAGTTCCAAATGCACAAACAATAAGTAATTATTCTTAAATACAGTTTATCAGAAGCGCAGGATATTTGGCTGTAGTTAATATATCATATCACAGCATTGCCAAGTATGCCCAGTGAGTGTCCTTTAGCAGAATCAAAATCTGCAGTGTTTAGTCTATGCTCATTGTAAGATATTGTCTTCTGCTGTGACTCAGTCTTATAGCCAATGTGATGGGAAGGGAGTATCTGGAGATAAATCCATCTCCCCCCAAGGCTTGCCCAATAACATTTGTCATCTAACAGCCCCCCAATCTGTACTCAATAGGGTGGAGGTGAGTCTAAAACACAGGGACGGACGGGAAGACAAAGCAGGTCTGGCATGGAAACGGGGGTTGCTGTTTACAGCCCCAGCATTTCTGCCCTTGGGTTATTGTCGGGGCAAACAAGGGAGAGACAGAAACAGTTTGAAGAAGAGAGAGAGAGAGACAGAGGGAGAAGAAGAAGAGCGGGCGGCGGCTGGGGGGCAGGATTGGGGGCTTGCAGCTTAAAAACAGGAGGTAGATGGAAAGCAGAGGGTCTCCCTTTTTGATGGAGATAAAGGAGCGCTAATGAATTTGAACCAGTGCCCTCCAGGGATATACCATAAGGGCAAAAATAGGAAAGAGCAGATTGGGGTTTAGTGGCTTTCTAAACTACAGCCAAACTGTCTTTTAAACACACACGGGTGCTCCCAATTCTGCAATCACCAAGATGGCTGTCGCACGGCTTGCCAACTGCCAAGGGTGATGGCTGTGCCAGGGACTAGAGAGAGATGATGCCAGAGGAGATATGCCTAACTGGCCAGTAGGGCTGTACCCGAATATCCGAATATTAGTTCGTTGGAGTACTATTCGGGTTTCAATTTCGTTATTCAGATATTTCGTTTTTTTTGGCTGCACTCCGGCTGCCAAATTGAATTTATTGAAAACTCCAATACCAACGTAAGAGCTTGTGCCTCTTCGGGGGGTGCTAACACTTAACCATAAACGTTATTGTTTACTTTCTCCGTCTTTATATGCAGATATGACTTTATCTCCGTTAATCTCCGTCACGTTGTTTCAACAACTTCCTGTCAACAGCGCTAACTCTCCTTCCAAATAAAGTAACAAACACAATGCAATATCCTTTTCAATTTCAAAGAACACAAATTGGGTTGTTTACATGATCAAATAACTATAAAACAACAATACTGTAGAATAACAACATGAATGCCGTGAATAAACCGAAATACACGTGTTGAAGCGGTTCACTGCAGATTACTAATAGGTACATTGCACTTAAGTCATTATGACTTAATTATGCATAATACTTTAAACATTGTGAGTTAAAGGTCCCATGTCATGCTTTTCCGGTTATTACCCGTCCCCTTGTGTGTTATGAAGGTTTTTATGCATGTAAACGGTCTGCAGAGTCAAAACCCTCAAAGTACACCCTGTAGCGAGTAAAACACAGAAAATACCTCCCCAAAACGCCTCGTTGGAGATACGTCACTGTCCATTGATTCTTCCGGGTACCGCAAGATGTCATGCGTTACCCGGAACCAAATGGACCAATCCGTGGAGCCGTTAAGTTACGTCCGCGGAGCCGTTACGTTAAGCCCCCGCTGATTGGTCCAAATTGACCAATCCACGGACTTCCTCACACACACACTCAGTGCAGGCAGCTCTGCTGATCNTCTAGGAAAGCTCCATTGGAAGCCATTTGGAAAAGTATTTCAAAAATACTAAGTGGCCCATGATAGTAGGTGATAGACAGATTGATCCAATCACCTGCCAAGTATTTTTGAAATACTTTTCCAAATGGCTTCCAATGGAGCTTTCCTAGATGGTTTGGTGAAACAAACCATCTGAGTCAGGTTAGTAATGCTCCATCACATGTTTTACATCTATTACAGGGTGAATCTTAAACTGAAGCTTGAATTTAAAGCAACCCAACGGAAGTATCATATAAGTTTAGTTCTTTCACTCGTAGCTCGGGCTGCGGGGATGCTAGAGACGAGAGCACATTGATACAACCTTCCTAGCCGGAGATATGGCATATGTCGCTAAAAAACAAATATTGCAAATCGAATCACAATCGCAATATCTGTTGGAAAATGTTCAATTAGATTATTTCCCCAAATCGTGCAGCCCTACGGCAGTGTTGCTTGTATTCCCAGAGATGCACAGGCAGCCATTTTCTGTGGTTAAATGGCCCACATAGTGATTCCACGCCATCACTCATAAACCAGGACGTGTATCCCCTGATGCATAGGGATGCACAATCAGCCTGACAGGCAGGTAGTTACTCCTTTTTAACCCCGACTAGTGCTGGGTGATGCAACAGAACAGCCGGGCCCCTCCCTTTCCTCCTCCTCTGCTTTCCTCCCTCACTCCCAGTCTCCTCTCTTTTCTGTACCTTCTTCGTTCACTCCTCATTTCTCTTTCTCCCTAGCCTCCTATTTCTTGCACACTCCCTCTCTGCATTATTCTCCACCCTCACTTTACCCCCCCCCCCTCCTTTCACTAGTCCTATTCACTGGCTCCCTCTCCATCTCTCTACCTCCCAGAGGCCCATGTTTCCTTGCTTGCATTACACACAATTACTTCCATCCATCAATTATCTGCCTGCTCCTCTTTAGCTAGCCCACTTCCCTTTTTCCCCTCTATGACAACAACCCCCGCTATCCTGCATACACATGTTTCTTTGCGACCCACATCTCTCACCTCCCACCCCTCGGGGCAGCTGAGTGTACCTCCCAACACACTTGTCCCCCTTCCCCTTCTCCTCCTTTCTATTCCCCCAGTGCCCACCCTTCTGTAGCCCCCCTCATACCAGATGTCCCTAAAGTTTTGTTGAGGCTCTGCATGGGAGGAGAAGGCAGTAACAAAAGGAAAGGGTGGTGGATTAGAGGGGGCGAAAGGAAGGGTGGGTGTCTGGTTTTCTTTGAATGGGCCAAGCCATCTTGCCCTTGGCTTTCTGTGTGCGCACAATGAACGCCATCAGATTAACAGAACACACACACATAACCACTCATATTTTATAACAATTTCTCACTAAAACTGCAAACTGGGAAAGCATGTTTGACTTATTAGTCAAACAATGCTAATGGACTTTTTTTGTTTAGTCTTCTCATAAACAGTTTTTTATGCAAGTCAGACATCACTCAGCTTGTGGAAAGGCTGCTACCTACAATTCTACCTCTTCATCCTTAAATTCAGTTTTTGAAAAGCTGGAATACGGCCTACGTCCAATTAACTAAGTTACTGAATACATCAAAACTGTTATTAAAACCTGAAATTGAAATTGATTCCAAGTTTACCACTTGTTTGTTAAGTGGCGGCTGCAGTTTGAATACCTCTTGAGTTAAGGTGGGAAGAACAATGTTGAAAGAAATCAGCTGAACAAAGACTAAGGTGCTGTTTACACAGGAACTAAACGGGTTGTATCCGTTACTTTTCTCTTTCATATAGCCTGTTCGTTCACACGAGGCCGTAACGGAACCGCAAGGTGGATAGATCTGCGGACAGAACGCTCTGGGGGGCCAAACGGCTCCGTGTGTACGTCCTATACGATCATTTTCCTGATAACGATGAAGCCATAGCCCCACCTCTCCCCACCTCTGCTGCTCACTGCTGTAGCATGGTCAGTAGCTACTGTCAGTAGCTACTGCTACTGACCATGCTACAGATGTTAGTGCATAATCTACAGCTCCTCTACCACAACCATCAGCAACANATTTATTTTTAATATATTTAATCCTTAGTCGCACTTCGATCAAGGGCGTAATACAGACGTCCTGTGTCCAGAGGTCCACTCCAATGAGGACTGACATGGCCCGTCCAGCACGGACCAAAGGTTGTATCTGCTACAGTTTCATCGATCGTATGAGGGACGGTTCGTCCACACGAGGCCGCAACGGAACCAGCGGAACCGGAGCCCTCAAACGGTAACGGTTCCCCCAAGGGGGTAGGTCTGCAGAGTAACCGCTCTGGGGCCCCAAACGGCTTCCGTGTGTACGTTCCTATTTACCGATATATTTTTTCCTGATAACGACACGCCATAGCCTCCGCCCTCCCACTTCTGCTCTCTCACCCGGTCATTGCTGATGTGTTTTTCGCAAACAACTCTGGCTGCTCACTGCTGTGCATGGTCAGTTTCTACTAATATTAATATAATAATAATAAATAATATTACATATTATAAAGCGTTTTCCTGGTGCTCAAGCGCTTACAAGCAGTAAAACAAATTACAACAAAAGTGAAATTGCGAGCTAGGGAGGAAAAAAGGGAAGGGTTAGTTATAGATTTGAAGCAAGAGGAAAAGGTGAGTTTTGAGGGATTGTTTGAATGATGTGAGAGTGTTGGCGGATCTGACGTGGCTGGGGAGGGAGTTCCAGAGTGTGGGAGAAGCTGCTGCGAAGGCCCTGTCACCCCAGGTCCGGAGCTTTGTCCTGATGGGCTGCAGTAGGTTAGCTTCAGCAGACCTGAGGCGACGGGTGGGGTTGTGTCGTTGCTATCTATCTATCTATTTATCTATCTAACTATCTGCTACTGACCATGCTACAGATGTTAGTGCATAATCTACAGCTCCTCTACCACAACCATCAGCAACAAGTGGACATGGCGAACTACATGAACTACATGTTGCTAAATCATCGTGGAGAATAAACAGAAGGGCAACCATGCTCGGGGGGTCTTTTTACTGCTTTTGGTGAATTTTGTGGCGGAAGTACAGCGCCACTTACAGGCCCGGCATATGTACTACAGCGGGTCGAGCGGTCTCGTGTGGACGGACACGCTTCTTGAGCCGATACCGTGTAGACGGAAGACTTTTTTGATATCGAATTTGTTTCGTCTTCGTTTAGATGCAGCCTAAAAGAGATAGGTTTAACGGTTATAAAAGAGAACAGAAAACAGATCTGACTAATCAGCATCAACAGATGCTTTCTTTAATATATCCATAAATGAATGAGTCATAATACATTTCAGTGAGGTAATACATATTGGACTGTTCTAAAAAAACAGATGATGCCTCTCCCTGTTTCATCATGTTTACATATTTTTTTATTTTTTTACCATTGTAGTTCAATCACATTTCTAACACTTGCAGATGGCAAAGGACAAAAAACCCTCCTTTTTGAGTTTCTGGTGCTCATGCAAAAACCGAATTTGGGTTTTCAGCAAACCGTGGTGCATGGAAAAAGGGAAAAAGGTGCGAGCCAAAGCATGTAGTTTCTGAGCAGCAGTTTGTTCTGGTCTGTCCGAGCTCTGTCACACTGAGCTGACCAGGGCTAAGGGCTCCTTTGGGTTGCAGCTCAGACTCCGCTCTCCAACCCCTTGCGTAAACTCCAGGATTAGAGCTAAACAAACCAACCCGTTCTAATTCAGTCTCATACAGTAAAGATGCCCCTTAATCCCCAATTTACCTGTGGGTTTCGAGGAAACTAGACTCTGTTTAGCTTTATTGTCCAACAAATTGATGTGGACTCGGTGCACCTTAATTCACATTTTCCGTTTTAGGGAACAAGCCAATTGGCAGCACCACCATTGTGTCTTCAATGCATGCTATTCTGATTACTTAGAGAAACTAATGCCTCTTTTTTTCTCCTTTCTTTATTCGTAGGTACACTCTGAAACCCAATGACCAGATCCTGGCAGAAGACAAACACAAAGAACTGTTAGTATCTCCTGTATTGCAAAATGTCTCTTTGAAGTCAAGGTTGTGCTTTTTTCTAGTTTCTGTAGCGAGAAAGGGGAAAGGTCTGAATTCACATCAAGTTTGTTCCTGTCTGTTCTGGTGTGGACTAGTCAAAACAGGCGCACACCAGAAACCACCACTATTGACCTCCATATTTCTAAAGACGTCCAATGGCAGCGCAGCAGATCCATCACAGACAGACAGTCTGAGCCAATAGCAAAGCAGGACACATCACCTCCCAGTCCCTCTGAAGCGGGAGTAAAAAAAAACAACATTTGACAGCGGGAGATAAGAGAGCAGTGTGTGACTGTATGAGAGAGACAGGACTGAAATGACTAAATCTACACAGGTTTTACATTATCAACAGTGCTTTCTTACAATGTAAGATTTACATATTTAGTCTATGAATAACATTTGACAAATATGAATAAAAAGAAAAGAGCTAACTTTTATTCGACCACTCAAGGCATTTACATTCCAATATATTATTTATTTATTTATTTATTTAAGGGAAGATTATTACTCTTGATTTCCAACTTCCTGCCAGTCTTTTTCCTATTTGTTACAGTCCGCCCTTTCTTCTTCACTGTTCTGGGGTAAAGGGCTAACATGTTGGAGACTTGCCCTAGGGGTAAATACTTAAGTGACATAAAAGACTGAAAGCAATAAAGTACAGTGAGATAACAAAATAGTCACCCCCACTCCATTTCTCCCCCTCTGCAGCCTCTGGCTCAGTCTCAGGACTTCTGACAGCAGTCGCTATGTTCCTATGACATGCATGGATGTTCACATAAATCAAACAGGCAAATATCTGTGTGTAAGATGATTTGCCTGCTATATTTAGACTGAATAACATGGCAAATTACGCTTTAGCCCTAAGTGGACCATCAAAGCGCAGCTTGAATCATTGTGTTACGTAACAGGCGTAAATGATTCAAGTAGAATCAGAATGCGTAATGAGTGTTCATTCATGCGTCTGTTATATTTATGTGGAGGAAATATGGCTTCTGCATAGAGCACAACCAAGCTCTGGATAAGTTACTGGGTGTGAATCCACATCCATCCCCATACAGGGGGACACTATTAAAGCTACAACTGAGCAATCACATGCAAAACAGTATGATATTAAAAAGTAATCAGATCAAAGAAAAATTAAATAAGATTTAAAGGAATAGATTTTTTATTTTGAGAAATATAAGTATTTGTTATATAACTGAGTGTTAGTTAAGAAGATGGATACCACTCATGTCCCCCATGAAGTATAAAGCTACATTCAGAAGACACTTAGCTTAGCTTGGAAAAACATTAGAAAAAATCTAGCTTGCATTTTGTCCAAAGTTTTAAAACATCCACCTAGTAGCACCTTTGAAACAAAATAATTTGTTATATCTCATCTGTTTTAATTTTGACTGAACAAACCTTTATGCTAAGCTAAGCTAAGAATGTTTTTATGTTTGGTTTCAGCCATAATTGATACCTTGTGTGTGGTGAGGTTTGAAGCTTTGCATTTGTGAAGCACTTATCCAGCATTCCCAAAGAAAGGTGAACAAACGGTATACTTGACACTAGATCTTCTGGAGAAATAGAAATCATGTAACATCTTACAAATGCATCACCTGCTATGTTTGTCTGTTTCATAGATTTGAAGAGATAGTGAAGAAGTCCAAAGTGGAGTACCACGCTGGAGGAGCCACACAGAACTCAATTAAGATCGCTCAGGTCAGTCAGTCGCACAAACTCACTTTCTGTCCTAAACATCAATGCTGCTTGAATTATTTCTGTACATGTTGGCCACTGGTAGTAGTGTTAGTTGACGGATGCTGATCAGAGCTGTTGTATCCTTCTATAGTGGATGATCCAGGAACCCCATAAGGTCGGCACGTTCTTTGGCTGCATTGGCAAAGACGACAAGTTTGGAGGGATCCTGAAGCAGAAGGCTGAGGAGGCTCACATCGACGCCCACTACTACGAGCAGGAGGAAAAGCCCACAGGGACCTGTGCTGCCTGCATCACCGGAGACAACAGGTGGGTCATTGTGATAGTTTTAGGGTCTGGGTAAGGTCTTTAAATATTTGAAATTACACTTCTTTTTTTTTATCTCGACATAAAAAAAGAAAAAAAAAATTGTTGATGCGCAGCAGACCAAAAGCTAAATGGACTGGAATAGGGGTGGAAAAAAGTGTTTTTCTGTTTCAATTGATTGTGAAGTCAACAAAGTGACACAATACAGATTGATTGCTTTGGATATAAAGGTATTCTGTAAACTTTAAAGTTATTGCATTTATAGTAACAATCACTAATCTCGTATGTCCTCACTCATAATCTCTTTTTTTATTTTCCTCAGGTCTCTGGTAGCTAACCTAGCTGCTGCTGAGTGTTATAAGAAGGACAAGCATTTAGACCTGGAGGAAAACTGGGAGCTGGTGGAAAAAGCTAAAGTCTACTATATTGCAGTGAGTAGTAGTTACTATAGTACTATATGTGTGTTGTACACGTTTACTGTATTTCAGATCCCTTCAGGAACTGTCACCTCAACGTCGTACTCATGGTAACCCACAGGGGCATTTCTGAACTACTGGTGAACTCTCTGTTCAACATGTGATTCATTAGAGCCCGTCAGGATATAAAAAGCAGATCAGTCTTGACCTAATGTCACCGTTTGCTCACAGGGTTTCTTCCTCACTGTCTCTTTGGAGTCCATCCTGAAAGTGGCAAAGCACGCGTCTGACAATAACAAACTGTTTTGCCTGAACCTCTCCGCGCCCTTCATCTGCCAGTTCTTCAAGGATAACCTCATGCAGGTTATGCCCTACGTCGACGTGCTGTTCGGCAATGAGACAGTAAGCCAGACATTACAGTCCATTCTTCAGATGCTCTGTAAATTAGCTGCATGTGCCTGTGGTGTGAATATAAGCACACATTTCATTTTTGTAAATTACATTTTTTGTTTTTCAGGAGGCAGCAGCGTTCGCTAAAGAGCTTGAATTTGAGGTGAGTGGACTGACGGTCTCATTTAGCATTTGCAAATGATTATTGCTGCATTTTTAAATGTATTTGCATTAATTTATATTTTGCCCGTAGACCAAGGACATCAAGGAAATTGCCAAGAAAGCCCAGGCTTTGACCAAAGTCAACAAAAAGAGGGAGAGGATCATAGTGTTGACTCAGGGGAAGGATAACACTGCTATGGCCAGTAAGTTTCCTTTTTTGTCTTTATCCCCTTAAAGTTTTTATATTTTAATAACTTTTATCAGTTGATTGCAATAATGACAACACATAATGGCACACCTAAGACATAGGTTAAGTTAATTAATGCTACACATTTGACTGAAAGGCTTTGAATAGTTCTTAATTTCCAGACTACAGGTTATATAGGTTCATGCTAACTGCCTTTTCTATTACTCAAAAACATGCCAAATACAGAAGTAAACTGCATTAAAAAAAACACTAAATCTGGTATTTTATGTGATTTTTAAATAAAAACTAATGACGCAAATGTGTCTGGAACAACAGTATGGCTACTGTCCGTCAGTAATGTCTGTTCCACTTTGTTCCAAGTGCTGAATCGAATCAAAATCTAAGAAAAGAAAATTGTCAATCTCACATAGATTTGTTTTCCCCTTTAACCTATTTTCTATCAGTTTCTTATCCTCTGTTAAAGTTGACCTACAGCCATACCATTTTCCTTCTGTCTGTTCAGGTGACAAGGTCGAGACATTCCCTGTAATGAAGATTGACCCGAAGGACATTGTGGACACAAACGGTGCAGGTGATGCCTTTGTAGGAGGTAAGACTTCATCGGTTTTTCTTTTGATACATTTTTAGATTGCCCTTCTTTTTTCCTTGTCGTTGTGGATTTACCTTTACGTTGTTCTCCTCTCTGTTACAGGTTTCCTGTCTGGGTTAGTCCAGGAGAAACCTCTCGTTCAGTGTGTGAAGGCGGCACACTACGCTGCTAACGTCATCATCAGACGAGCAGGGTGCACCTTCCCAGAAAAACCCGACTTCAAATGAGGAGTCCCGGATCCTTCAGTCCTTCAGCCTGAAATCTCACACCCACCCTGCCGAACATAACTCTGACCCATTTGTTCCCACTATTTTCTACAAATACTTCCCCAAATTCTTGTAGCCACATTTTTTTCCAATTTGCCCCCCATCCATGTTATTCATTTGAAATCTTCCGCACATAATTTCATCCGCACAAATATTTAGTTGGGTGCCTCCTGGCATGTGCCTGTCCCTGTTCTCCACTTGGGGCCGCTAGAGGATCACGCAGCCAGGAGCCAATGAATAATTGTTTTATAGATAAATCACCTTTTAAGGAATCATGAAAATATCACATAATGTGATCATTTTATTTTACACAAAGGAAGTTTCATGGACATTGTTTAATTTTCCCCAAAACATTTTTGGATCAAACGCTGCAAACGTCTGTACGCCAATCACACTGCTTTATTCCACAATGGGAGGACACACTATACACAAACGGGACTAATGAATCTAAATCTGTCAATGGAAGTTTGTATACTACATTGAAATGTGCAGTATTGACTTATTTAAGATGAAATATTCCTGATTATGAGTTTGTTCTTGTTTTAAGATTGAATCTGACAGGCCAGTAATGAAACCAAATGTTTTTATTTTGAAATGTGTCAAAGCCTCTGCCCACTATGACCTGTGATGACTGTTAAATATCAGCTTGATTGTGTACATTCTGTTCAGAAGGTACCTTCAACATCAAACTTGTGGAAGTGTGCAGGTGCTTCTTGTAATGAGTGCCTTTTTCCCTTCCTTTCTCTGCATGTGTTAGGGGAAAAGTGTTCAGAGGCCTATAGATGTTCTGTTAATCCACATTTCTCTGCACAGGGAATCTTTAAAACCAGACCAGTGATGGGAGCTATACAGTGGCTTTTCACCCCTCAATACTTAAATTTCTACCTGAGTTAGTGGCCTGTGTTCTTGCTGGGTGTCTGTTGATCTCTAGCTAAATTATAACATATGTTACCAAACTTTAATACCGTCCGTTTTGATTTTTATCATTTACATTTATTCAGATTTTGACATTTTTGTCACTGCAACTGGCAATGAAAGATGGAAAATAAATAAGGCAAAGAAATCTGAAACATCAGCCAAATTCAGGCTCGGGCTACTCTTGTGATATTGGGACCTTTTAAACCTAAGTTTGTGGTATGCGCAGCACTGAATCCTTGAATTCAAGTATAGATCATGATCTTAAAATGTGATGAGCAAGAAGTATGTTTTCTGAATACTACAGGAGTTGTTTTGAAACTCAAAAAGCCTTATGTGACCATTTATTCCTGATCTCAATTGTACTCAAGTTGCCCATCTCTGCTAGAATGTGATGCTTGAAATTTACAAATTAAACATACAACAATAATTGTTTTGCCTATTGATATATTTTTTGACTATATTTATTTAATATCTAGCAACATTTAATCATTTAAAATTAGAATTAATTTAAATCCTTTATTTCTGCTGCCCAGAAAAAAAACACGTCCCTGAGCTTATCAAAAACTAAAATCGAAGTCTACAAATTATTATATTTGCCCAAAGCTGTGCACATTTCATATAAATCGATCAAACTGTCTATAACTACTGATATTAGCTTTTTTAAAGGAAAACACACAGACGGCTTGTTAAATGTACTCATACGCTACAGGCTGATTGTTCGTACAAGAAAAGTTTTCACCCATGACACAGTTGTGGAAAATATATTTTTTTACTGATACAGTTGTTAAAGAAACCTGAAGAACATTTTTGATATACCTGAGAGATTTAGAAGACACATTTAAGTAGTAAACACAGATATTATCTGTCATTCTGTTATCTTTGTGAGCTATTGTGGTTGCATGTCTCTTTTTTGTGCCAGCCTCTCCTCTTGTAACCTGATGTCCAGGGCTCTGAGCTGTTTCAGGAAGCCGTGGTTTGGCAGGATGCAGCGCCGCTGTTTCACATGCTCCACCGCATCCACCACCGTCAGGCTCTGCTTCATCATCAGGTAGGCCAAGACCAGAGCCGCTGACCTGCTGCGACCCATCACACAGTGCACCAGAACCTTGTCTGGGACAAAGCAAGTTGGGACAGATGGATTTGTTAGAAACAGTGAAGTTTTCAAGCCTCTTATCCAGAGAATGATCAATGAAGGGCTTTGCGTAACACTTTCTATGATGCCCATAAGATCTGGGAGATTATTCAATATCAACATTCTCAATCTTTCAATGGAATCATATTGTGAAATACAGTAGGCTATATCATGGTACACTACACACTATTGTGTAATTTTCATTTTTTTTATCTTTAATATTTTCTGTATGCATGCTTCTTGGGAAGTATTAAGCTGTCTTTGGCTCTTTTCTTGCTGTAACTAAATTGGAAATGTCCCCTCTGTGGGACAAATAAAGGTATTCTGAGTCTGAATAAGCTCAATCTATTGATAATAACAAGCACATACTAACTCAAATGTCTTGGATCTAATATGTTGAAGTAATCATCACCAAATTTGTGGATTTCATTTGACATCCCACTTAAAAAACATACAAAAATAGGCTTGTATACTCTTTGATACAGACCTTTTATTGACTGATGATTGTTATTCAGATATAAAATTATCTATATTAAGATAGAAGATTTTGGACATGCCCAACCTAAATGCCCTGGTCTGGAATGCATCTTGAATATTCTGATAATGTGTTATGATCTGCTTATAGCCTTGTTTAATTTTATAAGCACTCGTAAATATTTGTAAATGTTTTCTAACAATAATCAGAACACATTTTTATAATGACTTGTAAGGTCATATATCATAATACTGATAACACAAGTATGCTTCTCAGGCACTATAGACGTTGATATCATTGAAAGGGTATCTTTTATTTAATTTTTCAGGACTCACTCTGCGGCTGACTGAGGGCTTCGTGGATGAACTGTGTTGAGGGGCAGAAGTACTGGGACATGTTGAAGGTGGGTTTGTCATCAGCCTCCACACCGAAGTACTGTATTTCCATGTCAGTGTAGTAATAAGCACCAGTCAGCACGTTATTAAACTTTCCCTCTGCTGCATTGAGGACATGTGTAACACCCAGGTCCCTGAGGCCGGGCCGCTCCAGAGCTGTTTTCCTGTTCCCATGAAACAGAGATCATGAGGCTGTCATCAATAGAGTCATAAAACCATCTCTGTGTGTGTTCACTCACTCGTCCCCGATGAAGATTCTGGGCCACACCAGGTTAACGTGTGCATACTGAGCCCCAGTGCCGGTCCAGAACAGCTGCTCCAGGTCTAAAGTCCCCGGGGTGATGTAGTCACTGTCTGGGTCGACCCGCACCGCTGCGTACGGGTTCCTGCCTCTGGACCTCACCTCACAGGAGGACATAGCTCACCTCTGCTGCCCAGAAACCAACACACACAGTCCTGAACTTCACCAAAACCACCAAACAAAGTCTACACATTCTTATCTTCACACTTAAATGTGTCCATGTAACTTATACATAAGTAGGCTAAGTTAAACAGTCTTGGAGCTGCAACCATTAGTCAATTTATTAATAAGTCAATCAACAAAAAATGATCGATTATTTTATTTATAGTTGATGTAATTTGTGTCCTTAATTTAAATAAAACTAGGTCAAGCTTTATTAATTTGTGCGCACAAATTAATAAAGCGTGGCCTCGTTTTATTTAAATTGAGGACACGAATGACATCTAGTGCGCACTAATTAATAAAACGTGGCCTCGTTTTATTTATTTTTCTCTCTATGAACCCTCCAGGGCTCCGTAGATGCGCCATGTGGGACACCATCTTTTCTATAACATATCCTTACCTTTTGATGCATTTATTAATGTATTAACTTTTCACTTTTCTTAATGAGTCCCCCAGTTAGTTAATCATCTATATCAACCAAGAAATTGATAACATTATTTCCATTTCCAAAGATGTAAAGACCCTCCAATGTCTTAGTTTCATACACTTCTGTTGTATTTGCTGCATTGAGTAGCTTAGAGTAAACAGTGAATGGTGTCCCAGAATGAACTGAAGCTGATCAGGTGTGTTATCTACTCATGATATTGGCTGTTAAAAGAGGAAAATACACTGATGGTGTGTTCAATGTTCTCATACAGGGTGATTGCTGTTAAAAAGTACTGGTAGAAAGTAAATTACTTACCTCTTTCTTGTAACTTTTTAAAGCTTTAAATCCGTTACTGAGCAGGATTGCAGACCAGCACCCTCAACTCTTCCACAGCTGACGTGTATTCATTAGTTGTTTGAGTGTGAGGCAACAGAGAGAAATACAGACTGGAATAGTAACTGCTGTCTTGGGCTCTGTGTTTAAGATGATATTTTTAGGCAGCTGGGCGACAACACCTGATCTCAACAGTGTGACACACACACACACACACACACACACACACACACACACACACACACACACACACACACACACACACTCACACTTATACTCACTTATACTCACTTACATTGTTTATGTGGTTTAATACCTCTAATGCCTTGTACAGAAACACAATAAATCATGAGAAACAATGCCAGAAAACAAAAATAAGTTCGGTAAGAGGCATGTTGCTTTGTTGTCATTCTAAGAATGTAACTTGTGTGGGGACAGTTATTTCTGGAGACATAAAACTTAAATTCAGTTGTTAAATCCTACTAATTCTTGTTGGGGCTGAGCGATAATGTAATTGACTGAGACTTTGTCTGATTCCTTCAAACTGTGCAAACCCTTTTAGAATATTAGAATATAACTCTTACATTTCTCAATTGTCAATTGTATTATTTTGGGTGCTTTTCATTTAAACATTTCTTTATGTTTTGTAGAGATGTTTATTTATCTCAGCAAAAAAGATATCGACCAATTAAATATATTCAAACTAATTAAGATCATAATAAATACATAAAAAAGATACATATAAAATATAAATGAGGATATAATATGACAGTTTTAATAAACCAAAGTTAGAAGAAAATGCGTTATTGCTGTTGGTGAAAAATTAAAGTAATGCTTAAAGACAAAACAAGAAACAAGACATAACATTTGGTTAAAAGGAGAGAGAGTGGGTGTAATTTTTCAATATCTTGTTATACCCGCATGTAAAAAAGGAATTACATTAAGCTTGTCGACCGCATTTGCAGACTGACCACTGTCTTTGAACTGTGCAAAAGGGTTTCAGACAGGTTGGAGGTTGAACTCCAGATGGTCTGCAGCTTCAACACCGTGACATTTCCCCCTCAAGGTCGTTGTAGAACTGCTGACCTGTGATGATACGTTGCTGACCTAGAGGTATGTGAGTTACACCCATGGACCAGAGTGTGGCTTTATCTCGCAGACCTGCAGACACACCTCACGCAACCTGATTCATTGTAATATATTTACATTTCAAACTGCTGGTGGTGATATACCATATCACTCATCTCTGATGGACAGACTCGACTTGATTGACATTTGCTGCTGGCTTCCTGAAATTGCATCACTTCTGTCAGAAATGTGTGCATAATGTTGATGTGTCTTTACAGTGTTTTAGCCTGCCGTCGCCTTCTCCTCTCCCTGTCTCCAGGCCCATGTGGGGGCTGCAGAGCTGCATCAGGAAGCCTTGGTTGGGACAGACGTCTCTCTGCGGCCTGACAGCAGCCACTGCCTCCTGCAGGCTCAGGCCTACAGCGATCATCAGGAAGACCAACACCAACGTGGCAGAGCGGCTCAAGCCCATCAGACAGTGGACAAACACCCGTCCTGGGATAATAATGTTTGCCGTTAATTCTTTCATCACTACATATCCAATCCAATCCACTTTATTTCTATAGCACATTTTAAAATGTAAAAGTTTGTAGAGTGGGCGACAATTTAACATTGGGGGGAGGTTGTTCCAAAGCCTGGGGGCCACCGCTGAGAAGGCTCGGTCTCCCCTGGTCTTTTTCTTAGTTTTAGGGACTACCAGCCGCAGCTGTCAAGCGACCTCAAAAAGCCCTTGGGGGGTGTACACCTTAGCAGGTCGGAGATGTACTGAGGGGCCAGCCCATTAAGCGATTTAAAAACAAACAATACAATCTTAAAATTAACTCTAAAATGGACAGGAAGCCAGTGGATATATGCAGCAAATGTTTTACTTTATGAGGTGCACAAGTACAAATTACTTCTACAGCCCCGCACCGTGAACAAGCTCATCATGTGAAGTGTGTGTTGACAGATATGTGTGAATTCCATTGTTTGTTACTGAGCTCATAGTAAAACGGGGTGTTGTACTGGGAAACATTAATAAGGTGTTCTTGTTGTCATCCCTTGTTGACATCAGTCAGGGGGACAGAATATTAGAAACACCTCTCATTATAATGAAGTACAATACCCTAATTTATGACTAAAATCTAATAATACAAATTAGACTTAATGGCAGAACAGTTATATTTAATTGATTTAGATGTACAGGGGTACCTGAAGTTGCAGAGTGTGGATCTTATCACACACACTAACATGACTGTAAGTGTGACTGACTTGCCTCCCATGGTTAGTGCCGCTCAGATGTATTGTGCTGTTGGGTAAAAGAACGGACTGAGCTTGAACTCTATTGCATCATCCGCCTCCACACCGTCCATAATAATCCACTGCCATGTCTCTGTAGAAATGTGGGCCGGTGTTATACCCAGACTGCGGAAGGTGCTCTTGTCATGAGCAGCCACCCTGAAATACAATTACACATTCACTGCTGTATGGATCAGATATGTTTGTATTGACACGTGTGTGTGAACCTACTCGTTTCCTATGTAGAGGTTAGGCCAGACTTCATTGACATGTCCTGTCGGTCGTCTGTTTGCCAGCAGGAATTCCTGCAGCGCTGAGACAGAAGGAGGTTCATACGGAGGATCTCTAAGAGACATACTGACACAAACGCACACACAAAGAAGCACATACAAGACGTCACTGTGTTTAATTATATACAAAGTTCCCTTGTCACTTCTGTGTTTCATAGCAATATTCTTCTCACAATGAACCTTTCTTAGAAACCATAATGAATATAATTATCTGTAGTTTGAAAAGCCATACATTCTGTACAGACAAGCCTAACAATCCCCAAACTAACCTGTTTTCAGTCTGAGTCATCCTGTATGAACTCACCTACCTTCTTGGCAGGGCAAACTCTTTTCCTAGCTTGTTCTTATTTCTCACACTCACATATGACTGCTTCCTTTTATAACTCTGTAATCATACACTCATTGGCTCATCATCCCACATCTATCAGCAGTTCAACTCCCAAATAAAAACCACATCTAAAGCATTTTGATTCATGTCTGATTCTTATGGTCAACAATGTGGCACTATCCTGTGAAGCTTGACATTAGCTCACTGGCTCAGTTTCCATTACTGCAGACTGTTATGTAACACATACCGGTGCTGTATGTGTCTCTGTGTTGCAGAGTAACGCCAGCTGCTCTGCTCCTTTAAGAAATATGATCCATGCTGTGAATAACAGTCCCCAGTGACGTATTTACTTCAGCTGCATTTGTGTTTACATCATACAGTATCGTAAATAATGAAAAGTAGGTTATGCTTATTGCATTTTGGCATTTGGTTTACATAACCTAAGGATATATAAGTTCAGGTATAGCAGTGTTTTTACTCTTTAAGATGAATATAAACTACAACAGTGACATTAACATGAAGTTAACTGCACATGAATTCTTCAAGGCACTTTTTCCATATTAAAACCAGCCAGAATATTTCAATTAAATAACACAAAATGTCTTTAATTCCTATTCACACTGAGTCATAAAGCTATATTTACAAAGCTTGTGTACATGCAGAACAACTCTGGCAGGGAACATTTGAATAAATGTTTGAATATGAAAATAATACAAAGAGAATAAATACACTTTTTACAACACATGATCATTGCTGCTGTAGCCAGAAGTTAAACCTGTGCATGAAAAGTAACTTTGAAAGTAAAAAGGAGTATTATTTACATTATTTTCCATACAGATTAAAGTGGATCTCATGGGAATAGAGGTGTAATGTGATGAGGGAGGAGAAGAAAGAGAGGGAGAGGTGTCATAAAAGAGGACACAACCTCCGTTTGAATGTCAGCTGTTGATCCAGTTTGAGGAGCAAAGACAGAAAGTTCTTGTTTGGATAAATGGGTCGCTTTTGGACGATGTGTTTCAGAGCATCTCTCAGAATGAAACGCTGCCGCAACATTAAGTAAGCCAGGACCAATGTGGCTGATCGACTCATTCCCATGATGCAATGCACCAGCACTTTTCCTGTAGGAAGGAGAATGGGAAAGGAAATATTCTTTTTACAACAGCTTAATAAACCTTTGACATGGGACAATGCGTGACACATTCATACACCGTACCATCTTTGCTCTTCAGGGCTTTATGTATGAAGGCAGCTGCAGGTTTGAAGTTCTCACTGAGGTCGAAGCGGTCTGAATCCTCTGCTGGGATGCCAAAGTAAACGCAGGAGTCCCCATAAAAACTCTGGTCACCGATGCTGCCCTGCTTGGAGTGTGCTGCGTTCAGGACATGAGTGATGCCGAGCTTATTTAATGTCTTTCTATTCTGTGCCACTGCACTGGAAAACACACAAAACATTCACATCAGGGAAAGAGTATCATCAAATTATGTTAAGATGCAGATACGCAGATTTTAAACTTTAACAAGCTAATAAAACGGGTACATTTTCTCCTGCAGAGCTGTTTAAGGTGTCCACAACATACTCTAAACACACAGGACTCACACATTTCCTATGTACAGGTTGGGCCAGACTTCATCCACTGGTGTGAGCTCCAGTGTGCAGGAATCCAAGATGAGCTCTAGTTCTTTAATGAGCTCCAGGTCCTGTGGCTGACTGGTCCCTGACATTCTCCCCTCACACAGACAGCTCCTCCAGCAGAGTGTGTGTGTGTCCGCCGTGCCCCCAGCAGCAGTGAGTGTGCAGCTCAGTGAGAGACCACAGCAGGTGGCTGTTTGAATGCCTGCTTGCATCCAAAATTAGCTCCCTGTGTTCAGGGAGTTCTCTCTGAGTGCATGTAGTTATTATTGTTGCTGTTGCATTGATTGGTCTGTTCACTGCTGCCAAAGGTCTAGCTGGAAAAGACAGGGACTTTCTCTGTTCCTAAAGGTCGTATCAGGAGAGGACAAGGGAGGGGAGGGATGCACACAGTTGAACTGGTGAGTGTATACTTACAGTACAGTAAATGGTACAAATGGAGACAGTCTTGCATTGTGTGAATGAGAACAGGGACTTCTGCAGACTAATGGAGGACAATTCTTTAGATTTATAACTATGGGTTGCTCTGCACTTTGTTTTATTTTGGCTCATTCAACTCTTCGTCCTGCAGTTTTCAGAGTAGGGCTATAAGCTGTCGTAAAAAGCCTCTGTTTGGGAAAATCCAGCCTTTCTGTTGCACACAGCGTGTAGAGGACAGAAGACTGAGGTGGTGATGAATCATCAGGTAGGCTAGGACTCACACCCACAGCACAGTGCACAAACACCTTGCCTGGACAACACACTCTCACTCCATAATCGTCCAGGAGTGACGTTTGGTCAGGGTCCCGTGGCGTGCAGTTGTGACGCTCCTAGGCTCCTTCAGTTTCATAAAGGGACGCAAATCCTGATAGCTGGGGATTCTGGGTCGTGTAGTGTACTCCCATCTGAGCCTAGGAGCGTCACAACTGCACGCCACGGGACCCTGACCAAACGTCGCTCCTGGACGATTATGGAGTGAGAGTGTGTTGGCCTGGGCGTCATAAAGACACAAACAAAGAAATGTCATGTAACCACAGCCAGTATGTGGTGTCACTTGACAATATGTCTGCAGGACACACTAATACCATCATGCATCAGCTAAAAGTTTGTTAAATATGCAAATGGCTGATACGTTTGCATAACTCACCAGCCAAAAAACGAAACAACAAAAGCATAGTGAGTGAAAGGTAAAATATAAACATTCACAAGCCATTTGAGCAGTGGACAAAAAGTAAAAGTTGCACACGTGTGGCAGCTTACAATACCTCCAGATGTAAAAGCCTGGTGTATGAACTCAGAAGCAGGGTAAAAAAAAGGTGAAAGGTCAAATGTTGGCAAGTCTTTGGCTGGGACGCCGTGGTATTTCACCGTGGTTCCATAAAAGTCATCTCTGACCTTACAGCACAGTTTTCCATGCGCTGCATTCAGCACATAAGTGATGCCCAGCTGCCAGAGACCGAGCTCGTCATGAGACACAAACAAAACATAATAAATGCACAATTTCAGCCAAATGTTGATTTAAATAAAACAGGACACTCACATGTCCCCCAGGTACAGATTTGGCCACACCTCATCTCCATGGCGACAGGAGCGTGGAGCTGAATGTGAAACCTCCTCCAGCTCCTGCAGAGTCTGGGTCTTCCAAGTCCTCTTTTGATCCTCTGTCCCACATTTTTCATCCCTTTCTAGGTCAGAGTCTTTACAGCTCGCCTCAGAAATTGGTTCTGCCATTTCTAAACTTTAAAGGGTGCAATCTTCTCTTTTATTTCCCTCAAACTAAGTCCTGCTGCTGTGTGTTGCCTCTGTGTTGGCTGCTGCAGCCTCTGACTGTCATACACAGGTGGTGAAAGTTTGGCACAGACTCTCATTCACACTCACACTCATGAAAATGTGGTTATATTATAGTTTAAAAACCACTACTGTCAAATTCAAACCAAATAGTGCATGACATCTGCTTCCCCCCCCCTTTAAATCTAGAGAAACACTACCGGCAAACAGATCCTAGTTTACCTAAAAGTGTCCAGCAGATGTCAGTGTGCTTTGATCAGCTGCCCAGCATGAGCCCAGCAGCTCTTCTTTACTGGTGTTGTTTATTAATGTCTCTTCCTGTTTGGGGTTGCTTAGTTGTCAGAAGCATGTTGGCCATGGAAGACTTGGCTCTTCTACTTCTTCTGCCAGCACAGTGACACTGGATTTATGGTAAGAGATAACTACTGTTTATTTTGTAAAAGAAGTTTGAAACTACTAGAGTACATCCTGCTACTTGTTTTTTTCTGGTTTGGCTATGTGTCTCTCTACTTTTGTTTATGTTAAAGTGTTTAAACTTTGCCACACTACCAATAAAAAGGGATTTCATCGCTCCAATTTGATTTCATGCTGAAATTAAGCATTGTTTTTGGGTTCTCTGTGTGGAAAAAAGACTATGAGCCCTTTGTCAGATAGTGTCTCTCTCTCTCTCTCTCTCTCTCTCTCTCACTCTCACTCTCACACACACACACACACACACACCCACACACACACACACACACTGAAGGGCTTTCTCTGTCACAGCTGTGTGTCACTGCTCACTGACTCACTGTAAGCCAGCCAAACAAGCTGACATGGCACTTATGAATCCCCAAGTAAAGCCTCGGGCAGAGAACCCAGCTATGTTGCCAGTAAATCTAGGGGCCAGTTAAAAATAACCTATTTCTCTCAGAGGGAACGGAGCAGAAGCTACCCAGGTGAGTTGCTTTAGGTTTCAGACATGTAAATATCAGCTGATGAGACATTTTTGGTCGTCCGGCTTGGATCCCTCACTCACAGTCAGACACCATTTGATATAATGGTATACAACACAGTTTATTCATTAAGTCATTGACAAAAATCTAAGTTCCTGCTACTTTCAAAAGAGGATGTTGCTATCAATAGTCATATCAGGTGTGACTGGAAATCTTAGGGTGATACTCCTACTCAGAAAACATGAGTAATGTGGGAGTGACAAGAGAAACTGTCATTGATTATTAGACTCAAACACATTCAAGTGTTTCCCTCAACTCATATTATATCCTTTAAGACTACAATATAACTTTAAGCTGTGTGATGTTCCTAAATTCTTAACATTTCATCTGATATTGTTGGTCTTTTCAAGTTTATTTTATTTTATCGTTCCAGCTTTTGAAATAAAAGGATCAGGGCTGAAACCAGCAACTATTTAATTTGATAATTAATCAAATTATAATTTTGATGTATCTATATATCTGTTTACTATAAATTAAGACAACAAAAAGCATCGAATTCTTGCATTGGAAAATCTGAAAACATCAAATATTTTAAATGTTTTATTTAATCTATGATCAAAAATAGTTTTTCATTCATATGGTAAGCAATTAATCAACTAATTGTTACGTCTTAAGTGATGAAAGGCTGTTCTTCTTGTTTTACATTAAATCAAACTGAATATTTTGGATATTTTGGACTCCTGCTTGGCGAAAAAAAAATCAATTTTAAAGACATCACCTCAAAGTTTTGTAAATTGTAAAAAATAATTCTCAATTTTCTGATGTTTGACACTGTGTATACTGTGTAATACTGAGGCCCCTTTATGTATGAGATATAGATATCTCAGCATTTTAGTTCTAAAAACGACATCTAGTTCTGCTTCGTGTATTACTGATAACTGAAAGCTGCTTACATGGGTCATTTGAAGTCAGTACAGTCAGCATGTAGACTATCGCTCACGTTCGGTGCGGATGTGTTGGTGGAGCTTGCAGACCTTTGGAGCAGGCAGGAGGACAGGGCGCTGCAGACAGCTTATCAAAGGGTCAAAGGGCAGGAACGGGGAAAAGACAAAGCAAAGAAGAGGTTTTCATCAGTATCTAAATCTGTCTGAGGGAGAGAAACTCATTGAACTGCTTGTGCTTTGGATGGTTAGTGGCTGTTTTCTTATGAATTGAAACCTTTAACAGAGAGGATATCCATACTCAAGATTGAATTCCTGTTGGTTTGTTTTTGTTTGAGACATGATGCGAAACATGGGACTACCTTACGTGGATCAGGGTGTCATTACTTAGGCTGTAAGTCACTCTTCTGCTGTACAGTAACAGATGTGAACACATGTATTACTGTGTTGGTGTATTCACGCTCAGAAGCCGGCAGCATGTAGAGCTAACGGCAAATAACTGCATCCAGATCTGTCATAGATTAACATTCCTGCCACATGCATGCCTTCAGAGCATTCTAGAGACTGTGTTATAGTGCTGATCAGTCATTTATAAAGCAAAGGTGCATTTTGTGTGTTTTCACTCATAAAATTAAATATTAAGATGTGATACTTTTATATAATTTGGACAATTATATTTATTATCATATAATCATTTATTCAATGAACGGACAAGAAATTGTTAACAAGTCCAAAATCTGTTAAATTATATTTTGTCTGTCCAACAGTTCTAAAATGAAAGACCAATAGATATATTTTTGCCAGAAGAATGAATGAAAGTAGCAATTGATCATTTGATTGTGTGATTGAAAGAAGATTATTAATCAACTATCTTGATAAACGATGAATCATTTACTCTTTTTTTCAAGCAAAAATGCCAGCTGGTTCCTGATCTTTCAGTGTGAGGGTTTGCTCTACTTTTCGCCTTTAACTTGTTTTTTAATCAAGACCCGACATTTGAAGATGTCACCTTCTGAATGGACTGTGTGGCTATTTATTGACGTTTAAAAGATCAAACAACTCATTCGTTGTTAAATCCAGAGAACAATTAGCAGATTCATCAAGAATTAAAATAATAATTTGTCACAATTCTGGCTCATTCAGGGCAATAATACATAATTGTGATCAATAGGATGCAAATTAAAAAGTAATGTCAATTGGTGACTGTCAGGCTGTTTTGCATTCAAATGTTCTTCTATAATTATACAGCCCTGACTATCGCCTCCACGTGTCTCTACCTGCAGTGTCATGGAAGTGTTAGAGGACAGTGTGAGTGCCTGGAGCTGTAAGCAGGTGGCCCAGTGGCTGCAGGAACGAGGTTTCGGGGAGTATGTGGAGTTGCTGTGTGGCCAGCACCGCCTGGACGGGCCCAGCCTGCTGGCTCTGACTGAGGCCGACCTGCGGGGGCCTCCGCTGGGCCTCACCGTCCTGGGAGACATCAAGCGGCTCACCATAGCCCTCCGCCGGCTCCAGAGACGGAACCAGGCGCAGCTGGAGGAGCTAGGTCTCCGTCCTGCAGACAGCTCCCCTGCTGAGCAATTGCTGGGCACCGCAGGGAGGGAGTGGAGCTGCGATGGAGCTGACAGGAGGTGTAATGGAGGGGATCGCTTTTATAATGGGACAGAGCTGAGGCTGAGGAACGGTGACAGATCTGCATTATGCTCAGCATCTACAGCTCACACACACTATAACGGGAGGTGTAAGCAGCACCTGTCGGGCAGGCTGGACCCAGAGGTGTGGAAGACGATCATCAGCTCCATATACGTATTTTTCGTGTTTGGATTCACATCTTTCGTCATGGTCATCGTACATGAGCGAGTCCCAGACATGACGACGTACCCCCCACTCCCTGACATATTTCTAGACAGGTATAAGAGCAAGTCCATAGTTCATGTTCACTTTTCCTGCGTCATATCTAATCTGCATGATAATACACTTGTTTTCTATCTCTGACAGTGTTCCCAGAATCCCTTGGGCTTTTGCAATGGCTGAAGCCTGTGGCGTCATCCTGTGTTACATGTTTATATTGATCCTACTCCTCCACAGACACAGGTAGTCCACTGTTCCCGTTTTCCATCACTGATGCACTGTGTGTTATAATACACGTAATGAGATATACCTGAGAAAATACAGTGTGTTTGCAATGCAAATATATATTTGGGCATGTAATGAGTATGTGTCTCTATTTCAGGTCCATCCTCTTCAGACGGCTGTGTTCTCTGATGGGAACTGTGTTTTTGCTTCGATGTTGCACCATGTTTGTCACCTCGCTCTCCGTGCCTGGGCAGCACCTGAAGTGTGCCAGTAAGGTGGGAAGCAGCATGAGATTATGTGCAGATTAGATTAAATGTGCCATTTTCAGCTGTTGTTGCTAATTGGCAGCCTTACAGTTTGTTCTGAACACATCATTCCCACTGTGATAACTGATGAACAGCTGCCTCTGTGTTTCACACCATGAATGTTATCTTTCTGCTCCTCAGACGTACGGTGATATCTGGGGAAAGATGCAGAGGGCACTACTGATCTGGAGTGGGTTTGGGATGACTCTGACAGGCGTCCAAACTTGTGGAGACTACATGTTCAGTGGACACACCGTTGTCATCACATTGCTCAACTTTTTTGTAACTGAATGTGAGTGATATTGCTTTTATTTAGTATAGTACAGCTGCATTTGTTAAATTATAAAGCTGACATTTCTATATAGTTTACCATTGTCAACAAATCCTGTAAAAAGATCTAAACCAACAACATTACTCAAACTGGAGTAAATAGTGCATTTGCTGGACACTATATTCAGGTGCGGATTAATACACATTTAGTGTAGAAGTATGACATTACTAGGAATGAACACGTCACATGGTGCATACATTTTAAATGTTTTTTTTGAGATATGTGGCAAATATTAATACGCCGTCAATTGTGAGAGTAGAAAGTGATTTTGTTTTGGACTACTTTAAATCATGGATTAGATATGTTTTGGTGTGAGAGTCAGTTTTTCCACCAGCAGGAGTGTGTCATCAAGATTGTTTTACCATAAATTACACTGCTGGTGATCAGCTTAAGCTTCATCTTTACTTAAAAAATAACACTTGTTAGTAGAATAATTTCACTGTTGTTTTTGGTCTTTTCATGGGATTTGTAGAAAAATGTGAATACCACTATACTTATCCTTTAATGACTGCTTTCACTTCCAGACACTCCACGATCTTGGAATCTTATCCACACCATCTCCTGGGTGTTAAACCTGTTTGGGATTTTCTTCATCCTGGCGGCTCACGAGCACTACTCCATCGACGTGTTTATCGCCTTCTACATCACCACCCGCCTCTTCCTCTATTACCACACCTTAGCAAACACCCGCGCCTTCCAGCACAGCCGGAGAGCGCGCATATGGTTCCCCATGTTCTCCTTCTTCGAGTGCAATGTGAACGGAGCTGTGCCCAACCAGTACCACTGGCCCTTCAGCAAACCTGCCTTCATGAAATCTATGATCGGATAGACTTTCAAAGTGCAGCTACGGCAATGAACACAGACAGTTATATTAAAGCCTGAAGGAGAAACTTGTATTTAAAATGCTGCTTCCTATCTTGATGTGGGAGTTTTTTTCCCTCATTTCTATAACTGAATGATTTTTATTTTGTAACTAATCTTATACTAGTTTGACATTTTGGGAATATGCCTACAGTATGCTTTCTTGTTTTTTTAGCTAAATAAGATGACAGCATATGGTTATCTTAGTTTAGCATAAATACTGGAGCTGGATTATAGGTACGGATGGTTTTGTTTATTTTTGCTTTGATTAATCACTTTTATCGATCATGTTCCACTTTGGGAAGGTTCACTGGTGCTTTGGGCTGTTGGCTTCACTCAACATCTACAGTAGAAAACAGAGGAGGCTTCACACAGCTGAAATGCAGGTTGATACTGTAGTTGGCACTTTTTTGGGAATCGTTGTGGTGACAGTTTACATGTTGTTTTGCTGCAAGACATTTGACACCTGTAACTACTAAGAATGGAGAAACAGCTTATTTTGTTGTGCAACAGGAAAACTCCTCCTGTTCTCTAATGAGAGAGCTCTGTTTCAATCACTTTTTTCCCTTTTTCACTTAACTAATTGAACTTTTTGTTGTATTTGATATGTCATCACTGGGCTACTGTAGCCTCCCAGTTAAACTTAACCAAATATCTGAACATTTATTATAATGTAATAATGTATTTTTGACAAATATCCTAATTTGATACCGTTTTATGTTTTTATTCCAGATTGTTAATTATGTAATGATTATAGAAATGTGTGGAGATGGATTTTTTTTTAAGCTTTATTGTCTTTAAACTCTGAACAGTACAAAAACTGGATTCATGGGTAACAAAGTTTCGAAAGTATATTGTTTACGTCATGGTTGATCCAAAGTATATCTTTGAAATAATTGTTTACAATTTGTTTTGCTTTATTTGCAATGCAAGTAATCTATCTCTGCCTTTTGGCTCAGCAATACAAGTTTACACATGAGGAAAACAGTTTTTATATTTTAGACTGACTGTTTCCTTGGCTGCTTTTTACTAATGTGTTTCTTTTGCATTTGTTGAATAAAATTAATTTGACATATTAAAGGAAATTCCACATTGCTTGTGCTTTGTAAGAACAACATAGAGTATCTATCAGTGGTGAAAATGCCATGATTTAGTGAGGTGTGCCTTTAATATCAATATAACTTCATACGTATTTCTCCTCACACCTTAAAACAAATATCTGATTACAGTCACATCACTATTCAAACATTATCAATAAAGTTATGCAGAGTTTCGCACCTGAATATAAAGCCTCCATTAGAGAGTCCTCACGCGATCCACCTTTCTTTGGGACCGCGATTCACATCAAATCTGAGGATGGTAAGTATTTTATACTTTAATAAAGGGAAATTAGGACACTTTATTTATTTTATTGGAATACTTAGTTGTAGAATTGTGGTTAAACCATAGACTGTATATATAAGGGTTAAACATATTTTAAGAGATTCTACATCAATGAAGATATGGATGGATATATTCAATTTAAAAGACATCGTGCTGTCCCAGTTTACCTAATATTTTACGGCCAAAATGTAGATACAATTGGATCGTGTAGTTTAGCTTTAAATTAATGAAGGATTACATTTGAGTCCTACTGCACTCTTGATTATATATTTTTAACAATATAGATATTGTTTGTAGTATTAGATGGGGTAAAAATATTTATTGGCAAGTAAATTAAAAAGTGCTTAGGTAAATAATATCAATGGGGATTCTTTGCACAATTCAAATGATTTTCTTTGCTGGTGCCGGGCTGCTAAGGTTAAGATGATTAACAAATGAAAATATTTTTAAGATGAAAACATTTTCAAGTTATCTCAAAGACTAAATATGTCTTGTTCAAGGTTAAATGTGAATCCTTACAAATCTAACTTCTTCAGACTGAATCACATACATCTTATGACATGCATTATGGTTGTAATGCTTGAAACATTGACATTTTCATTAAAAAATGCGTATACTTGATCATTTGGAAACAAGATGAATACAAATTACCTAAAACATGCATTTATGTTATTTACAACAGCTACAAGAGTCAGACACTGACATCCTTTTCAGGGTTTTTGTCACTTTTAAACTTGTGTAAACATTACAAATCAAAAGAGGCATTAACCCTTTTCTTCAATGTAAAGGAGGATCATAATGAAGGTCAGGGACCACTCGTTGTTTGCAGATGTCTTTACTCCCCCAGGCTTCTCTCCATAAAGGCTTCTCAATTCTCTAATTTCCCCTCCTTGACTCCTCCGAGGAGAGGAAATTAGAGAATTGAGAAGCCTTTCATGTGTTCGTTTGTCTGCTTGGACTGGTTGTCTTGTGTCACTCTGACCGTTCCTTCGAGGAGTGAGTGCTGAAAGACCTGAACAACCCTCCAACAGGTGAGTGGACATGAAAATATTAGAGGAGACACAATTAAACAACAGTCTGGAAAAAACTGGTCTGTGTTCATTGTGTATCATCAAGCTGCTGTGTGTTTTCTTAGACCTGACTCAAAACTTCAAAACCACAGCTTTGGATAGACTATCACACATAGAGTTAGTCAAGGCCACAAATTTATCAGAGCTTGATAAGCGACTCCACACATCCTCTGAATGTGGTCTTATTTATTTAAAGGGTGTGTGGATAAGGATGGAAAGCAGCATGATGTTGGCACTGAATGCCAAAGACTGCATTGACTGCTCTTGTACGGGCCAGGGCATGAGCTGCTGTAGCAAGTAAGATTGTTTAAAATGTTTTGTCTCTTTTATTTTCAAGCTATGCTCTCTTAGAAGCGATAGCGAATGAGGCTATACCTTACGTCCTTCATGTGTTATAATCCAAAAAGCCCCTATCACCCTTGTGAACCTGTCCTTCCCCACTCTCCATCCCCTGGTAGAGACGATATTGGAGCAGATGGGTTGTTTAGTTAAGAATGTGAGTCCAGTCTCCCTGAATCTTTGATCTTTTTTCTGTCTGAGTTTTGTGCAAGTTACAACACGTCCATGTTTCTCTGTTGCCGGCAGGACCCTGGGGAGCTCTTTATCCCAGCGTATCATTAAAAGTATTCCTGCTGCGTGTTTTTGTTTGTTTCTATGACAAGAATAATGACAACAATACTCTAACCAACATTTTTTGACTGACTTGCCTTGCTTTTTAGGCCTGTTAAAAAGGTATTGCCTATTGCCAGTGGCTCATCTCTTGCAAAGGAAATCTATATATTTGAAGTTAAAAATAAAAACACAACCCCCTGCTCTACACACAAGAAAAGACACCCCTCCTTTTAGCGAGTAGAAACATCACAACTCCCTCCCTCTTTTCTGTCTGTTTGGATTTCATTTTCATCTAAAAGTAATGTTTATTTTTTTCTCAGGATCCCTGACGCAGACTCAATTGATATTCCTGCAGAATGTGAGCTGGTAGTAAATAAGGAGGCCAGCACTGCCAAGATTGTGATGAAGTCAGACCCGACAAAGGAATGTAACCTCGTCTAAACGCACCAACAAGTTGTTAGATGTTTCATATTTGATCAACTATTGTATGCTGTATACATCGAGTAAATAACCAATGAAAACAGATTAATCAAACGTTGTCTTCCTTTTCCTGTTTTAAGTTGTCATTGACAAAGACATTGACAAAAGGTTTTAGACAAATATCCTTTTAATTAAAATCCAAACATTATGTATGGGGTTCTGGAAGCAAACTATGAACAGATAATAAATATAACTAATAAAATGTGTAAAGAATTTATATTTAAAGCTCAATCAATAATTCATCTGAACTTTATCTTATTGTGAGTTGTCAGGTCATTATACTGCTATATATATTTTTTTTGCTTGTAGCCAATAGAAACATTTCTAATCAGAATCAGAAACAGGTATTTAAACAATAAACAATTAAACAAGTTTAAGAAAACGATATTAACATTAAAATATAGCAATATTGAATGTATTGAATGTGGATGGAATAAAGGTATACCCGTAAATATAATAAAACAAAAAATATGTGCAGTTACAATGTGCAATGTGCAGAATTCAATTGTGAAAACAAAACATTTGAATAATAATAATAATAATACATGACGTTTTTCAAGACACTTTGACAGAGGATAAAACAAAGAAAACGAAGAAAAATACATAAAGAGAGATAATGGCCTGATGGTACCTGCCTGCTGTATGTCTCTGTAGCAGCAGGTGTCCTTTTCAGCATGTAATTGAATGAAATCACCACTGTGTGACAGCAGAGCCCGGTACTCTGGCCCAATCATCACGGGGATGCGCTCGCCCACCGCCTCTGACAGAAAGATGTTCTGCTGGTGGTGATGTTCAGCTCCTTCTCCTGCTCTCCTCTCTGTGGACTCAGCTGCTCAGAGCATCGTTTCCTCTGACATCTCAGCATCCCAGACTCCAGCCAACCAACCACGTGAGTGCTTTATTTTTTACACACAATTATCGGTTTTATCAGGAAAAGTCAGTGTGATTTTCAGTTAATTAGATGTAGAACTAATGCTGTGCTGTTTCTCCAATGTCAGCTTTTTGCTTAGTGTCCTCAGATACAGGAAAGTGTGCTGTTTTTCATCTAGAATTGCATTTGTTTTTGAAGAATGCACGGAACAATATGAGAGCAACTAATTTCAAAATGGAAAAAAAAATGAAAACCATAGAAATGATACTTAATGTTTCATACACAGTGTGAATTTCCATCCCATCTCATGAGTCCTAATTGTAATGATTTATTGGGAGGTCTCACCCACAATAATCACTGCCAGCACAGAATAATCACATTATGGTTATTATCTGGGGCTGAGCCCATAGCGCTTCCTTTACTGCGCCTCCACATGCAAAATAGATTTTTAATTGTCCCACTGACTGGATATGTTAAAAATAACAGTATGAATGTAATAAAAAATGTTTGCGGATATATTATCCGCTATATTATCTGCTGTGTGTTTCTGCAAAATAAATGCACAACCTCAAATTCCAGTGGGTTCTAATATTCACTGGTGTTTTGCTGGAATAAAAATAACTTATTTGAGAAGTATATTGTATAACAATAATTTCAAATCAGTGACTGCATCGAGACTCATTCGGGCTTTTTCTTTGATTCTATATCAATCAAGTACATGTGCGCCATGCGTCCTCTTGTGATTTCCATTTTCACAGACGTTTATTTATAGTCTAATAAATTCGTTTCGAGCAAATCCTTTTGTCATGCCCTCCAGGATGGCTTTATAGTGTACATTCCCACCTTTACATTTCGGTCAAATTACCAAATAGTATTCTAAGAGGAATTGCAAGGGGAAATCCAGTCACAAAAAAGACAGCATGAATTTTGGCAGATACAGAATAAATTAAATTGTCATGCAGTGTGACAGTTTTGAAGCTACTGCAGAAGAATTTGAGAGAAACATTGATCACAATGCAAGTTATAAAAATGAAAATACATCATTATACAGCACAACTGCTCTCAGAAAAATACTAAAGACAGAATCAAGGTGAGTCTCCTTCAAAAAATGAAAGCCAATCTCAGAGAGAGATCTATGTCCTCAGAGATGGAGGACACTTAGCTGAGGCTGAAAAGAATAATATCACACACAGCGCAGTGACAGGTCACAGTGCTTCTCATTCTGCTTCGATCTTTTTGAAAGGGGACCATCAAAATGGCCCATCTAGTTGCTGATTTGCTCATCATTGGAGGGTGACAGGCTCATATTTCTCTAATGTGACATTCCTCCTTTTTCTCCTACTTGTGTTCATGGTTCATATACTCTGTTACAGCTGTTTCCTACATCTGGTCACGGGTGACATTACACTTGGATGATTAAGGCTGTACCACTCTGCCTGCAGTTCCCTCAACACACTGACAGAGTATGTTAGTAATGATGCGGTGTGAAGTGACTGATAGCTGAGTGTGTGTGTGCTGTTAATGGAAAATGACAGGCTTGTTTTTTCTCGCAATGCTGGTTTTCACAGCACATGGCAGAGGTTTCAGGAAAGGAAGCTCAAATCTAATTTTAGGATTCTGACAATGGCATGTCCTTTCATTTCAACGAACTATACAATTGATTGTGCATTCAAAAAATCGAAGACTATGCCAAAAATAAATGCATAGTAATTTAATTGTCATTACGCTATTATGTACAGTTTTGAAACCTGACTGGAGGGTTAATTTGTGGGAGGAGAACTGACAAGTCTGAGTTCTTAAGATGGGTAAAGAAGAGAAATAGAGAGATAAGTATGACCAAGAACTGTAAGTGGAACTGCAGTATTGGGTGTGTCTCTAAAACGACTTCCATATGGTGTGTAACAAGTGGTTTTGTGGACAATCTACACACTAAATTAGAATAAACAAATATTAAAGGAATGTTAGTAGCTCCTTGAGGCTGTACTGTGTTTAGTGTTTTCAGAGGTTATCCCCATGTTCACCATCTTAATTTAGCATGATGCAATTCTAAATTAAGATGGTTAATCCCTCTTCAGCTAAAAGATAAAGGCCTATTTCTTGCCTCCCTTTCACAATGACAGAACAGTATACCTTCCACATGAACAACATCTTTGAGCTATGAAGGGGATTACATTTCAAATAATGAATAAAGATGTATTTTTCTGTCTCCCTCTTTGCCTCCTGTCTCTTTGTCTCAGATGCATGTTTTAAGAGGACTGGGATGGACGGTTGTATCCTGAGGGCTGGTGACACTGAAGTCTTGGTGAGATGTCCTTGAGTGGCAATGCGAGCCATTCTTCTCCACCAGCTCTTACTCTGCCCTTCAACAGCTCCACCTCTTCATACTCCCCAGCATGGGAGGAGGGGAGAAGCACTCACGAGTCTGTGCAGGAGTGGTCAGGGAACAAGACGCAGCTCCTCTCAGACCTCGCTGTTCTCGGGCATGATGAGCAGTGCCCTATGTCTCCTGTCCTCACGGCGTGTGTGGTGGTCTGGTACAGTATGACAATGGTGCTGGGGCTTGTGGGGAACATCGGCCTCATCTGCATCATCGCCCGTCGCAGGGAGAAGGTCAATGTCACCAGCATTTTCATCTGCAACCTGTCATTCTCTGACATCCTGGTGTGTGTCTTCTGCCTCCCCTTCACTGTCATATACACACTAATGGACCATTGGGTGTTTGGCTCACTGTTGTGCCGGCTGGTGCCGTTCATCCAGTGTGTGTCTGTGACCGTGTCTGTTCTCTCGCTGGTGTTCATCGCTCTGGAAAGACATCAGCTCATCATTAACCCCTCTGGGTGGAAACCAAGCATCCCTCAGGCCTACACGGTGCTTGTTCTCATTTGGATTCTGGCCTGCTTCACCTCCTCGCCTTTCCTGGCCTTTCAACTGCTAACAAGTGAGCCGTATACTAATGTCATGCTGCCCCAGTCTCCACTCTATCACCAAGCCCCTCCTTATATCAATGCATCTACACCTCAACCTGTTTCCTTCACATACAAAAACTCATCTTCACCTAAAAATGCATACAGCGCGCTCTTTTCTTATGCGCCCATTACTCCGCACATGGAGGCCTGTCTGGAGCACTGGCCTTCCCAGCAGCACAGACTTGCTTACACCACATGGCTCCTGCTGTTTCAGTACTGTGGTCCTCTATTGTTGGTCCTGCTCTGTTATGTTAAGGTTTATGTGCGCCTTCGCCACCGCAAAGACATGCTGGACCGTGCCAGGACCCCAGAGAGCCAACGCATGACAAACAGCCGACGGATTAACATCATGCTGGTCGCCCTCATTACAGCCTTTGCACTTTGCTGGCTGCCACTCACCATCTTCAACGTGGTGTCGGACTGGAACCAGGAGGCTCTGCCCATCTGCCACCACAACCTTCTGTTCTCCCTCTGCCACCTGCTGGCCATGTCCTCTACCTGCATCAACCCCATCATCTACGGCTTCCTCAACTCCAACTTCCGGCAGGAGGTGAGAGAGGTGCTCCTGCACTGCCGCTGCAGCCCGCCAGAGGAAGAGTGCGAGCGTTTCCCCATGTCCACTGTGCACATGGAGGTGTCCCGTTCCTCTGTGCCTCTCACGTGCAGGAGCAACTCTCTCTTTGATATAACAACCTGAAGGGTTGCGGCACTAGAAGGATACAGACAGATAAACTGAATTACAGGACCTATTCCTGTTGGTTTTCCTACCTTTTATGGCATCACACTAGATTTGAGTGGTTTAAAGAGCAACATTTGTTTCAGTGGTTTGAAGTGATGTTTGCCGTACAGTGTTGATTACTCCTAATCTGCAGTAGCAGTAGGAAGTGTATTTATGTCGAAAAAAAGATCAACAGAATGTAATTTCCAATTAATCTGTTGCTGTGCAGACGTTTAAAAACAAATTGTAGTTCATATAAAATCAAAACATTTCACCATTTTGTAATAACAAATGATCAAACGTGTGTCCTGTTGGGTGCCAATTAAACTGTGATTTTAGAGAGCGTCTGCCTCACCACGAACATCAAAAAAATACCAAATGAGGGAATATCTTGCTTTATAAATATGTTCATCCATTCAGTAACGTTTTAGAGGATTGTGCTGCTGTTAGGCTTGTGGTTGACCAACAATACTTTCCTATGTGTTTTTTTTTGTAGTGCTGCTGTTGTATTTCTTACATTTTATTACTTCTTTTGTATTTATGGCATGTGTGCTCTGATATAGGCGTGTGGGTTGCTACAGTGAAACAAAAGCTGTAATTAATGCGATTCATGGAGGTAAACTGTAATATTTTACAAAATTGTTAGACAGTTGGGTTAGATGTATTAAAATATATATAAATGCCATCAGACACTTCTAATGGATGTTACATTTCGTACCGTTTATAGAGGTGCACTACATTTTCAAATATCTTCAAAGTATAACGATTACATATTGTGTATCTAATCCAAATGCTTGCTTAGAACTGTGTTTAAGTGAGACTGATGATGATATAGTCATGTATATGTGCCTGGTTTAATAATCAAATTACTACCATATGCTGTATATTGGTATACCTCAAATGCCTTATTCTTTGTGTTAAATATTTTAAATAATGTAACAAGAATTTGTATTTTATTTAGCTCATGAATGCACTTAAACAATTTACACTTCTATTAATGTGTTAGTTAGTGTGTGCGTGTGGTTTGTGTGCGTGTGCGTGCGTGCGTGGTTGTGTGTGTGGGGGGGGGGTGGGGGTGAGGTTGGGATGCCATAAAACTGTATATATGGTTGGAGGGTGTTTCAAGTGCAATTCAAACTAGCACTTTTTTCCTTAATGTTAATTTTTCATTATAATTATATTGATGTCAATTTCATTGTTGTATAAGTATCTCTGTTCAGATGGTGCAATATGTTAACTTTAAAACATGTTTAATATATTTCTTATACATTTCTAGTTTGTTGTTCTTTCACACTAACAAATAACGTGAAAAACATAAGCTTTGTCCAGTTATTCCACTTCACATTAATGACGGTTTCCACGGTATCAATGAAAATAAAGTCATTTTGACATAATTATGTGATTTTTCTTTCAAAAGAGACAAAAAAGATAGCAGCGATACTTACGTCTCCTGGTTTCAAATATACTTCTTATTTAGGGTCCTTCTCAGGAAGCTACGATGTTCCCTCGGCCATCGCTTCCGGAATGGAAGGGACGTATGTTTCGTAGCAACCAATGATAGCTCTTTTCCCAGAAGGCATTGCATCACAAACTGCACGCGCGAACCATGTACATTTTAGTTTAGTTTAGTTTGAATCTGAGCGTATTAAACTCCACTGCCGCATAAAGTAAGTTCACGGGAGTTATTACAATCACTGCTTAACATATGTGTTCATGCCTTTATACTGCCTTTAGTCAAAAGTATGTATAATACGTATGCCAGCAAATAACGGAAGTGTTAACCCAAGTTAGCCACACCAGCGTCAATGCTAAAAATAACCAAGTATGTTAGCTCATCAATTTAGCAACGAAACAAAGCTAAACCAACAGTAACATGTCAACAACATTAGCTCTTTATGCTAGCTAATACATGTTTTATGTAGGTTAGAAACACAGGTGTTTGATCTGAAATGTTGCCATTAAGTTGTGTATGTTACACAGTAATGTCATAATGTAGATGTTGATGCTAACATTAATCTATGTATGGTTTACATAGCTCACTTTAGGCGGTTTAACTAGCTTATTTTAACTTTACCCTTTACTTTACAGATATTAGATATACTAAAAACCACAATATTGAAGTAATGGGTTTTTAAAATGCGGACAAAGGTCGGCAGACATAATGGACCCCCACAGAAAAGCAAACGTGTTTATCGGCAGGTCTTCATACACACCAGACTTCCGGTTTCCTGTGCTGTTGTATTCGTTTAAAGTTTAAACATGTAGCAGCACAGCTTTAGATCAAATACCTGCATCTCCACTGGTTAGAAGTAGTCAACAAGTAGTTGGTAGATTTACAGAAATATCTTGTGTAATGAACCTGCAATGTGCAATACAAACACTTTGTTTGTTGCAATTCTACTGGGCAATGATCATCCTACTCATTTTTAGTCATGTCGGAGTACTTATTTGTCTTAGTTTAGCTTGTTCTCTATATACGTTTGCTTAAAAAAACATTTCTGATTCTCAAATAATGTTCACCCTTGTGAAAACACAAATACAGTGATTAGTTGTTTTATTTTCTCGATCTAATACTTCATGATATGATAACCCAGTGTTTCCCCTAGGATGGAGTCATAGCAGCGGTGCTAAGGCACGCGGGCCCAGCAAAATGTGAGCGCGGCGCGCGTGGACATTTTAAGTGTGTGCGCGTGCGAAGTGCTTCCCGCCATTATGTTTCTATTTGTCTGCCAGCNTTTGAGTTTTCTTAAGCTGTATGCCATAATCAGCAATATTAAAATAATAAAAGGCTTGCAATATTTCAGTTGATTTGTAATGAATCCAGAATGTATGACATTTTTGTTTTTTTAAATTGCATTACAGAAAATAAAGAACTTTATCACAATATTCTAATTTTCTGAGACAGTCCTGTATACCAGAGACACTTTAATAACAGCGTTGTGATGACAAACAGCGTCAATTCAGACTGACACACATTCACTTAAGGGGAACTGGGGATATGTATCAGCTGCTTGTGTGACAGTCAGACAGTGAATTCTTTAGAGAGGCCGCTCTAAAGTATTAGCTAACCCGGAGCTAACGGGAGAATAAACTCCCGTGGAAGAGCAGCCAGCACTGCAGCGGTCGGTAAATGCCGCTGAAACACATTAATAAACAATGAACCACGGCACTCTGGAGAAAAGCATAAGCTTGGAGAAGTCGTTATTTTATTTTATTTGACTTCGTGTGATTAAGAGCAACACGATCATCGACCCGACGCAGTCCCCCGTTGTTGTTGTGGTTGTTGTGAGCACCGTTGGGGAGCAAATCAGCGATGTAAACGGTGACGTCATGACGCAGCAGCAGCTGCACCAGTCGGGCTCTGGGCAGTGTGAACAGAGCGGGAGCAGAAAAGGGAAACCGGAGCTGAACCAGAAAAGCTCTAGCTCGGAGCTAGAAACCACATATAAGACACAGGTGGGGGGAGAGGAGACAACACAGGGGACCAAGTGAACACAATCGCCAGCCACAGACAAAACAGGAGGGGGAACACTTTCAAACTAAACCACATTTGCAATATTACAAGGCCCGAAGCCGTCAGTCCACAGTATCAATAAAGTGCAAATGTGTTGTGTCGTGCTATCTCACCTCAGCTCCCATTTCCTGCAGCTGCTGAACGAATGGTTTTGAATAGTTTGCGGTTTTATCTGATGACCAAACATCAACATAGGCAACAACATCTGCAGAGACATTGAACAGAGTTGAGTTATAGATTTGCACAATAACTCATACATTTTGGCTTGAATTAACTGTAGTAAAACAAAGACAGTGTACACTACCTTTAAGAACTGAAGAGTCATTGCCTGTGGTCATTACTGGTGCCATTAGATTCACCTACACAAAACCAATACAGAAAATGATGTTATTCTTTTAGATAAAATATCAGCATTCCACAGAAATGTGGTTCAGTGCGCCACATTTTCAGCACAAAACATGAAATCAATTGCTGGCATCATGCTAAACACAAAAAACTGATGGGAGTCAATCAATGTTGAGATTGGGGCTGCTACTCTGGATTATTTTCCCTTTCTACAAAGTATATTTTTAACAGAATAAGAGACGTATTTGTCTTTTTTGTAGGAATTTTTCTGACCATCGGTCAAAACCAAAATTGTAATATTTGTATANGAAACACACTTTATAAAGTCAGGCAACACTAACCAGGCTTTGTGTGATTCTGTTTATTTGTACCTTCCTTTGACCATCCGTTTGCTGTTATTGATCATTGTGGACAATGATCAATAACAGCAAACGGATGGTCAAAGGAAGGTACAAATAAACAGAATCACACAAAGCCTGGTTAGTGTTGCCTGACTTTATAAAGTGTGTTTCTTTTTATAAGTGTGTGGTTGCCTTCTAGTCACTTTGCTCAGCACTACTGCTTGTATGCAGGCATGACGAGATTCTTCAGTCAGGTACTTTTCAGGCTCCAGCTCCAAGTCGGAGCTGAAAACGCGTTGGTGTGAAAGGGGCATTATTGGCCTGATTAGTGTATGTGTATTTAGGCTCTGTTTTCCCTGTCAGTGGACAGGTAGTGTGTGTGAGATCCTTGTGGCTGCTGACTGTGTTCAGGTGGACAGCAATTGGGGCTGTGAATCATGTGTCTATGATTTGAATAAATGCCCAAACCGGGTTGTATTTGGACGTTCTGCCTCTGCCTCCTTGCTTGGTCAGCTTCACCGATACCAATGACCTAATAACACGCATAATATAAAGGCCTTTTCTTTTTCAGGTACCAAAAACATTAAATAAACAAGTCACACATGTAGTCTTCAACAACGGTCACCCGGCTACATGGAGAAATGCAAAGAAAAGTGATGTGAAGCTCGTCTCTGTTCTCTGGGTCGGCAGGTAAGAATAACACAGAGTTGTGTATTTATTTTTTATTTTAACAAATCTTAAGTTAATTTTGTTTTATTGTCATGAAGTATTACAAAAGGTTTTTTATTTTATTCATGTCTTGAATCTGTTAACATTTTTTTTCTGTTTTATTGTGTTGCACTGTTGGAGGAGCCTGTGATCTAAGATTTTCATCGTCATAACTACACTCTAGCTATGCACGTATGACCAATAAAAGCCTTGAAACCTTGATGACCTATTTTTTGTGTTTTTATCCCAGATGTTACGATGACGGTGTGCGTGCGGATGAGACGTTGTATCCAGCCTTTAATGATGAAAGCAATCCCGTGTTGAAGAACAAGAGAGTGAGCAGATTCAGCTTTACATGAGATCTTTTTGCTGGACCACTGTTGTCAAATTGTGCAGATGTCACTGATTTTATTTTTCATACACAATACAAAAGCTACCGTTTGCCTTTATACTGTTCCATCTCTTTTTACACTTCACATAACTTACCCATAATAAAGAATCCAATCCAATGATATTATAACTAGGTTTACATTACATACAGTTGCTAATTCTCCTTTTCTTCATAAAATAAGCTTGTGTTATTGAATGAATCAAATTGAAGCCCCTATTTTGTATCCTTTCAACTAATGAAACCTGTTGTGTCAAACATTCCAAAGCAAAGTCAGAATATCATGGCCTTTTCATTTAAAGTGATTTTGACGTATTTAAATGTGAATTTATTTACTCAAAACCTTTTTCGTGTTTGATTCCCAAAGCATCGTTGCATGCAGCCAAGAGATTCTCCAGAGAGGACACCGGAGAACAACACACGCATGAAGAAAAAATTAGACAAGATGATGAAAGACATTGCTCCAAGACAACCTCTGGGTAAGAGATTACACACTTAAAGAAACTATAAGAAGCAAAATGAAAAACGTCATCCTTTGTTTGTATTTACCCACAGAAAGAGATTATTCGCCCATAATAGTTGATCAAGAGAATGGAATATTCTATAGCCCTTCACTGAAAAGATCTGACTATATGGCAAAGCGTTTGAAAGACATGAAAGAGAAACGGGAAAACATCTCACCCACAGGTATGTGCAGCGCTAGTTTTTCAATGCAAATAAAATGACATGGTCTCTCAAATGTGAGTACTTTTGAAACAACAGAAATTCTCATGTTCACTGTCTTTCAGATTCACAAATGGTTGAATCCTGCCCACCATCTGGGCTGAAGCCGTCTCTTGGAAGCACACCTTCCGTCTTCAAATTCATGTGTAAGAACATTTACCGTTACTTTTCACTGTTACTGTTTACATTTTTTCCAAACCCCAAGATCAATTTCTAAGCTTCTAAAATAAGGAGCTGAATGTTCAAAAACGTTTAAACATAGTACGACAGCCCTAAGTGTCCTTGACCCCTTTGTCTCTTTATCTTTGAATACGAGCAGCTCTTTATCTGCCTCTTGGTAAGTATGTCTCTTCACAATTTGTAAAGTGAAGAACAATGTGAAGTTGGAGCAGCGTGCGGTTGGGTTATATTGTGGGTGTCATTGAGGGCCTTTAGAAAATCCTGATAAATGCCCAAAAATGACGATCAGAGAGTGGCTTAATGATGCACAAAACCTTTAGTTATTTCTGTTTTTTCCTATTAGGTGACCTGTCTGATGATGAGCCTGCTTACTCGCCTGATAAGGAAGAAGGGAGAACACCCATAGAGGTTACTGACCATGACCATCTTGAACAACGCCATAATGTGCATAAGCGGATTATAAGTCCTGTGACATGTCTTGACTTCGAGGACAAAGAAGGGACTAGCCAAAAAAAGACAAGAAGGACTTCAGTCAGAAAAAATCCAACAGAGAAATACAAACCTGTTGAATTAGTAGGAAGTCCTTTCCAGGGAGTGAAATCTGCTGACAGCAAGAACTCTCATAAAGAAAAAAGGCCATCAGAGATTAAACCACCTAGTCCTTCACCTAACAAATCTGAAAAGGGAAAGCAAAATGTCAAATCATCCAAATCTTTTACAGAGAATAAAACCCCTTTAGGTTCTGACGCTCCAATCCCTTCTAGTTCCCTCTCCACACCAACTAAATCAGATAATGCTGCACTTGAACTCTCAAAAGAAACTCCTACTTCGTTACAGAAAACACCCAAACGAACCAGACCGTCATTTTCTTCCTTGGTACGATCTTTCTCTCCATTCAGTGAGTCTAAAAATGTTGCCTCAGCTTCCACTGATAGAGATGATGATGATATGTTTGAGGACTATTTCTCCTCAGCTAACCACCATCAGAGATCACAAAGCCGTCCTTTGCCTTATCTACCTGTAAAGAGAGACATTCAGCTTCCCTTTGAATTGGACTCTGTCCCAAATAAGAGAAAACAAAGACGTAGTGTAGGCCTTGGATCTGAAACCAACAGTAAAAAGAAGATGAAACTGGGAAAAAGTCTGCCGTCTGTTGCAAGCAGTGAGCCTCAAAGCCCCCCACAACAGGATGTTAAAGAGTCTCTGCCTGCATTGGAGGGTCCAAGTTGTGATGTAAAACTATTGGCTAAAAAACGAAGACAAAACGCCTTGCCTTTTATAAGCATCAACACAACGACAAGGGATGCAGGGAAACAGAGAAGAGCATCTTTATTTGTACAACCAACAACCTCAACAGATGCTCACACAATTCCAGCACTGCAGAAAGACTCTGAGGTCAATGCCCTTCCTCATACCTTGGAAAGTGAGTAGTAAGGCTAGAACACAAGAACACTTTTTCCTCTTTTATCTTCATTATTATGAACTGAATAAACTGCATTTTTATAATGGTGCAGGTTTGTACAAGGTTTGCTAGATAATAACTTAAAGGTCCCATGTCATGCTTTTCCTTTTTTTTTCTTGTGTGTCCTTGTAGCTTTTTATTAGGGCTGTGAAACGATTAAAATGTTTAATCAGATTAATCACAGTTTAAAAATTAATTAATCATGATTAGTCACCATTCGAACTATGTCCAAAATATGCCATTTCTTTATGTATATTGTTGTGGGAATGGAAAGATAAATGAAAGAAGGCGGATATATACATTTAACATACAGTATGTATGTATGTTTATTATAACTAGGGCTATCAGTCGATTAAAATAGTTAATCGCAAATTAATGTGGGTGGGTGTGTGTGTGGAGAGACACTGATGGATCGTTGGAGCTATGTGTAACTCAAGGCATATGCTCGAACGGGAGCTGCCTGGACGCTGCGGTCATGTTGCGCGCACTATCCGTGCTGACTTTTCGTACAATGTCCCACTGTCTGGCTGCCTGCATAAAGTCAAGTGCCCGGCGCAGTTGTCGGCGAAATGTCACTCCTCTGTTTTCATTGAAACAGCTCCTTACTGTATATCTGTTAGCGCAGCTAGCTAACACCAGATGCTAACAACAACAACAACAACAACAACAGTACACGTAAGGTGTGCCCGTTCTCTCGCTCTCTCTCTCTCTCTCTCTCTCGCTCGCGCCACACACACACACACACACACACACACACATACACCCTCCCGGTCCTCCCAATGGCCAGTCGGTGCCTGCCGGTGAACGTGGAAGTGTGGTCTGCCGCAAGCGGACGGTAGGAGCTGGGCTGTCAGCATCAGCTTGTAAATGGTATTTTAAACTCGATGCGCTCTGAAACTACGGGGCGGCCGAGGACAACAAATACACATGCGTTAATCGTGTTAAAATAATTAGTGGCGTTAATAACGTTAACTTGGCAGCCCTACTTTTTATGCATGTAAACGGTCTGCAGAGTCAAAAACCCTCAAAGTACACCCTGTAGTGAGTACAACTCTAACACAGAAAATACCTGTTTATGCTGCCCCAGAAAAGCCTTGTTGGAGATTTCTCTTTTTCCATTGTTTACTTCTTGGGTATAGTGACGTAACGGCCGTTAAGTTTGGACCAATCCACGGACTTCCTCACACACGCACTCGGCGGGACGTTGCGAGGCTCGCTGCTGCGAGGAGCGGGACAGCGTGAGCTGGCTCACTGGTGTGGGGTCTGCGAGACAGCGAGACCACGGAACTCAGCCTGGGCACACACACAAACTCCCAGCTAGGCTGCGGGTGTGTTTGGGGCTGGGTTTCGCTGTGTCTCATTAGGCGCTTTCACACCACAGTACTTTTCCCACAAAGGTTCATGAGAACTTAGTTCATCAGAACTCTTTAGTTCTGATGAACTAGCCAATCAGAAAATATAGCTCTTTTCTCACAAGAGAGCCGCATGAGAGTCCCTGCTCTCTAGCAGGCACGGAAAAGGGGGTAAAAAGGTTCTCATGAACTAATTTTAGTTCCGGCTCTTTTTGGTGTGAATGCGACATTTCGGAACTAAAGTGGGAAAAGTACTCCGGTGTGAACGCGGCTACTGTCTCGCAGACGGCCACTGGGCTCACAGGGAGGGGGGGGGGGCAGGAGCTCCAACAAGCCGTTTAGGACCAGAGAGTGAATACACATAACTATACAGAGATGCCTATCCCCTGTGTGCCTTGGCATTTATTTTAGTATACCTCAACAATGGAATTATGATCAGTAGAAATGGCCATGACATGGGACCTTTTTAAGGGAATCATGATTCATCCTATTCAGTGTTCTAAAGGGTGAATAATTATATGTGGGTGCCGTAAGAAGAATAAAGACATACCTCCAATGTGAATAAATGAGGCCTTTTCATATACTCTGTATTTTAAAGACCACGTTTAAAATGTAGATTATACATTTCATGTATACACACATGTGTATAGAGTCAAAGTTCGATATGTGATGTCTCCTCATTACCTCTGGTTTCTGATATACGATGAATTGAAGCATTATTTACTCATCGATGTTGATTTATCGGTCAGTATTTGATAGACAGACACTAAGGCTTGCCTCGCTACTTGCCCAACGCATGCTGACTCCAAAAAAACCTTAACAGTATAAGTTGTTAAGAAACTGGACAAAGATCATAATTCAAATGTAAGCCTTCTTTACCGTGTTTAGAAACATTACTGATGTGAAACAATTGTAATACTAAGAGAAAAAATGAAAAAGTGATATTATATCTAATAATGACTTGAAAAATGTGTGTATCTTTTACATATGAAACCCACTGAAGTGATTATACTTTTCAATGTTAAGACAAGATAAGATGGTACTTTATTGATCCCAATTTGGGAAATTGTTTTTGTTGCAGCAGCATAAAAGACAAGGCATTTTACAATAAAACAAAACTACAAATAAACAAGAATAGAAATAAAATAATATACAAAATATACATATAGATATTATATATACAAATATATATATTCAAAGACTACTGGTTTTTAGTTGGGTGTAAATGGTAATTTGGGAGATTAACACACAGGAACACATTACAGTGCCCCCTCTGTGATAGCTTAAGTGACAAGCCCCCCCCTCCTGTTTTGAATTGTTTGTCTTGTTTTCAGACATAGGTAGAGGAAATGAACGTACAGTTGCAGCTGTCTTAACAAAGATCCCCCCCGAAGACAAAGAGACTCACAATGAGCAAGTCAGCTTAAGTGTCCAAAACATGGTTAACAACACAAAGGTAAGAAATCATTGTTCTAAATGTTTAATTATGATACACTTTTTGCACTGATGATTTATGTTTATGGTATAGTTGGTGATGCAAAAACAGAATGTTCTGGGTATGAATTAGCAGTGGGAAAATGACTTTTTAAGGTTAAGCTTAATTACATATCATATTTGCTCATTTATATTTGTTGTTGTGCTTTACAACCAGCTAGATTCCATGTAGTTCACTTTGACCTAAATGCATTTACTCAGCCTTCTTAATGCTTCATTTACATGAGCTTTTACTTTATTTATCTTCCAAATCTATTGCATCTATGGCTGCAGAATATGACCTGACGTTAATACAGGCAGTTCAGGAAGAAAACGAGACATCAGTAGTGTGTGTGTGTTTCTTTCCCTTTAAAGTGTTTCCTCCATAAGGTCATACACTTCCATAGCCGTAGGCGTTTGACGCTTCCAGTCAAGAGTTTGTGTCTGGTCCTCAGGGTTTCCTGTGTTTGCCTCTCTGATGCTAGCGTACCACTTCCTCGCTTGTGAAATGCACCTGGCCTCTGTTTTCGTTACGCTGCTAACCTCAACAAGCTGGGGCTGAAAAAGCCAAACATGACGTCATCTCTCCCGGGGATCTGTTACGGTTGACTTTATTGTAGCCTGATTACAGAGATGGTTTTTCTCTTGCTTTTGTAATGATCTTGATAAAAGATTTATGATACTCAAAGAATGGTTGAGAAAACAAACAAACGTGCAATCACCGCTAAATGCACTTTAATACAGGGGTATCTCCTCTTGCACTTTAGGTAGCTCTTTTATCTTCTCTTGCACTTTATATGTCGTAGCTGCTATATTGTACTGCCATGTGGTAAATACTTGTAGGCTATATGCTGCTCATGCTCTTTTGCAATTTTTGCTTATCATGCACTTTGTTTCTGCTATGTTTGTAGAATGTAAACTTCTTAAATGTTTTATGTGAGTGACTGCGGATGGAAATTAGCTCAAAGCTAAACCTGGCACTGTTACGCTTGACACATTTTTAATGTTTTAAAGGTGGGGTAGGTAAGTTTGAGAAACCGGCTTGAGATACACTTTTTGTCATATTCCATGGAATGCTCTTAACATCCCGATAACAATGAATATCTTAAGTGCTTTGACAAAATTCTAGCGCACTCGAGCTGGTTTCTCAGAAATTACCTACCCCACCTTTAAGTGTTCATCACTCTGCATTGTCCCTGCCAAATAAACGATTAAATAAAAAAATAAATGTTAGGATGTGAGGCAGTATAGCTGAACACTTTCAGACATGACAGGTTCTCTGAGGTGACGCCTGCATGACTCACCAATCTTTGATGTGAAGATGGTCAGCAATGATACATTTTGTGGAGGAAGTTCCAGACGAAAACCTGTTTGGCAAGAAATTAACAGATAATAGAAGTTTAAAGCAACGTTTTGTTATTTGATAAAGTCAATAAAAGTCAAAAAGCATTTAACAGAGTTAATCTATTTCAGCGGAAAGGACAGTCTTGCACCAAAAGTTCGTACAAGATCTGACAAATAACAAAATAATCTGTTCTAAAGAAGTGGAAATTAGAGGCTAGATGTGAATTCAAACCGTGGGAAAAACCAGAGAATGAAGTTACTGTAATACTTAGGATTACATGAGATTTAATGATACATTTCTACATCACATTTCATTGCTGGACTTTGGGTTAATACACTGCAAATGTGCAATTGCTGAGACGAAAAAAAACATGATTTATTTACATTTTTAGCAGCCAACTTTGTTGCATTTCATTCTCTATTACTTTGTCCTCATTCCTTGTCAGCTCTCTACTGTCAATTCTCTCCTTATGATTTCTCTATATCAACTCATCCATCAATGAAAAATCTTGGTTTGTAGGTAATCAAATAGAAAGTGTTCTGGTGAGGAAGACAACATGAAAACGTTTGAATGTTGATTAAAAACCTCAGCATGTTAACTGATTTTCTTTTACTTTCCTAACTGCTAATTGTAATTGGCTCTCAGACAGATTCAGTTGATTTCCATCTTTGCAGAGACCCATTATCCACATTATTTTTCGATTGTTCTAAATAGCGTGATTTTCATTTAGCGCAGAGAATCAGCAATCCAGCAGGAGACCTTCTCATACAGTGAAGAATTTCCTTTATCTGGGCTGGGAGTGCTCTTATCTGAGAGGCCGCGCTGCTGTTCATCCCAGCTCTTTGTGAGAGGCTCATTAAGGGCAGATCAGTCTTCAATGCCTGCTTTTCGTGCGGCTGCCAGAACATGTTCACTGCAAAAGATAAGTCCCCTTTGAGGAACCTTTAGAAAAGCTGCCCATATTTTGAGTTGGTTTGAAAGACGTTAAATTGAGCAGATTTCCTTGGCACCTTTTTTCAGTGCTGTAGTGTTAGAGAAAGATTACCTTGTTGTAGATTATTAACAAATCTAAACATTTTCCCTTTGAAGAAAACTTCTGTCGGGACAACCCAGGAATGTCAGTCACAGGGTGATGGTGACCAACTCAATCAATTCCCACCCTGCTCATAAGGGATGATATGTGTGTGTGGGACTGTTTTGGCAGGGCGGTGTGCAGCAGGCCTTAACCCCCGGCTTCCAGCTGGGGCAGCAGATATCAGGAAGGGGCCCGAGAGTCCCTGTTTGTAACTGCTGCTGCTCAGGTGTTTGTGTCCATGATGGCTCGCTGTATTGGGGCCAAAATACGTGTCTGGATGCACCTCAGTTGTCGGGTTACAAATTCACAGTTCCGTTTTAGTGACTCTGAATATGTTTTTCCTCCACTCATGGCCTTGGTGTGTGATTTCCTTTTTGGTCGCTACGCAGCTAAATATCCGGCAGAGTGGTTTAAAGTGCGCGCTCTGTTTGGCCTTGGAATAATGATCCTTCTACCTCAACAAACAAGCTCACCATACTATAGTTCACATATTTCACTCCTGTTTTCTTTCATCTGCTTCTACAAACACAAGCCAAGAAACAAAGCAAGCCAAATCCCTGCTCTATAGCTATAGCTCCACTTATACCTCATCGTTGGCCAAATATATGGATATTGGAACACACCGCAATATTTGTTTCCTTCCACTATGAGCCTTAGATCTACTACAAAACGGAAATAGGAATAAATGCATTAAACAAAGAATATTTGATCTCGATGAACATATTGTGAAATGGTTTGATTTGTCTTCATAATGATTTAGTCCATAATGATTCAGTTAAAAAAATATGTGGTTTAGAAAATGTTTTATTCCTTTCATAAGTTTTTTATATTTGTTTTTGTTTCAGGCTATGAGAACTTTGGTTATGACAAGCATGCCCACTGAGTGAGTACACATATTTGTCTTAAGATAATGTAAATATCATCAGCTATCACTTTTAATGCATTGGTGAGAAATCGGGTAAATGAATACGTATTGTTTAACCATTTGTTTACTCACCTCTTGTAGGAAGCAGCAGACATTGGCTCAGGTGGTGGGGACTCTGGGTGGTTTTTCCATTGTTGACCGAGTTAGTGAGAGCACCACTCATGTGGTGTCGGGGGGTCACCGGCGGACCCTCAATATTCTGTTGGGCATAGCTCGAGGCTGCTGGATCCTGTCTTTTGAATGGGTATGTAGCTTTTATGTGTTTCAAAGCCGTCACCTGATTTTTAAAAGGATGATAAAATGTAACAATATGTCTTGTTTTTTTGTCTGATTAGATCCTCTGGTGTTTGGAGCAAAGGCAGTGGATCCCAGAGGAACCGTATGAACTTTCAGAACAATTTCCAGCCGCACAGGTGAGTACCAATACTAGATTTGTAGCTCTAGTTAAAGAACACAAGTTCAGCTGCAACCCTCACTTATGTTCTACAGTAGTGCAGACAATCAAATGTTTGTTCATTGAAACAGCAGAGTTTTTAAATGTATGGCACTCAATCGTTTAAAATGATCTTTCATTGACAGAAAACAAGTCATTTAGTTTATGCTCCACTCCACTCTGAATGTAACAAAATAAATATAGTCATCTCATTTTTGGCACTAGGTCTTCTGTCTTCTATCTAGGTCTTTATTGCATTTTCCACTGCCTTGTGAAACTGCCATGACATCAATCTTCTACGCCACACTGATATAATTCCTTTCCTCGGCAACCAAACAGACAAATGTGTGGATAATTGTACCACATGGGCAGCCTTTGTTTTTTAAATGTCATGAATTAAAAGATGTGACTGACAGTAACTGGGGAGGTTTGGGAAGGATGTTACATTTGGATAATATAAAATAAACATACAACTATGAGACATAAACCAAACCATTAGATGTTTTATTTATACATTTAACCATGAAATATAATATATTATTCAGTTTATTAATATTTTTCCATTTCTCATCATCGTTGCAACACCTCTTTTTTGAAACTGAAGAGAAAAAAGGCTTGTAAAACCGAAGCCGAGGAAGTCACATGGAAACCTGCACATTTTTATTGCCAGTCATCCATTTTCAGTCCGCTTGTTTTTCCTGAAGCATCCTGTGTGAGCTGTGAGTGTCGCCTCTTCCTGAACTCGTCATACATGAATCACTGTCCACTCGTGCCACTGCAGGGGGAGACATGGGGTCTTGATGCAGATCAATGTCGACACATTTCCGCACGAAATTGCATGATGGCTTTTGTTGTGACAGAAAATGTATTTTTCAGGTCGCCACGGCTGTTTGTCATTCCTTCTCTTTTATTCAGTTCCTGTGCCATGTGTTGCATGGTGATGCCTTCAGATTGCTTTAATGATAGAAACTGATCTTATTCGTATGTATCCATTACTATTGTTTAAACAGACAATTCACACTTTGTGAATTATAATCACATCTAATGCACATCTTGTGATGTAAAATGATATGCCTCTGTTTATAAATCATAAATGGCCTCAGTGAATGTGCACTGACATCTATGAGTGACATGAGGCCAATCTGTCAAGCAGTTTTTCATTTAAACGTCCATAAACGTCATACTCTAACTATGCCTATATTTCTTTACATTAGACCACTATGCATTATGGGACATTGTAAATAATTGATCATGACTGCTTCATGGCTCTACTCGACTGTATTTATGTATTTAATTAGCCAAAAACAAGTCTGGTGGCTAACTTATTCATAATCTACACCAAATTGACTGTCAGCAACACATATATTGCACAAAATAGGTACATACTATAAACCTTAATAAAATATTCGATCTATATTGCCCACTATTAGCTATTCAGATATTGCTCTTCTTATTTCTTGGGAATACATTTTGAAATGATTAGTAGTCCTTAAAAGCAATCATAAAACAATGCACATCGAGAGATTTTCCCCCGGGGACTTTGCGGAGAGACCAGAGCGGCTCCACTTTCGGGCTTGGGCCTGCCTTCCACCTGTCCTGTTTCTGCTGTAGCAGAGGCCTGCTTCCACCTGTCGTGTGCTGCGGTGCTGAGGAGGTTTTACCCTTGGGACATCGTGAAGAGACCGGAGTGCCTCCACGTTTTTGGCTGGGGCCTGCTTTTGCCTGTCCTGTGCTGCTGTGCGGTAGAGGATTTGCCCCAAAAACATCACGGTTGCTGTGCTGGTCTGGGAATATGGTCCTCATCGTGATTCTGCTGTGCCTGCTGGCTATTTTGGACAGTGAGAAGTTCTCTCATCATCCTGAGAAGTCTACTGGATTCAGGTCTGTTCTGCCGCCCAAAGTGGGCATCCCCTGCAAAGGATCGGGTGTGTTACGCGAACAATTGCCGGTTGCCTTGTCACAGACAATCAGTTCGGCAAAATATGTTTGTATTTTTTATTTGCCTGCTATGATGGTTCTTCAGGACTGCTTCTTGAGCTCAAATCACAGTTTCGCAGACGTTGCTGCTGGTGATTTTAAAGTAGATGACAATTTATGTGTGTCGATTAAGAGGAAAAGATGTCTGGTTTTCTCAATCCATATACACCAGGGGTGTCTAACTCAAGGCCCGGGGGCCAAATCTTGCCCGCGACTTCATTTTATGTGTCCCGCAAGAGCTTGCAAAGAATAACATACGTTTATTATACGGTTTCATGCCGCTTTACAGAAGCACGTTGTCCATAAACTACATGTCCCACAATGCATCTCATTTTGTGACATGGAGACTTGAAAAGATTTGCAATTATTTGTAATGAATTGCCCTAGACTTCTGCTTTCAGACGTAGTTAATCATAAAGTTATTAACCAATCCGATAATAATCCAATGCATAGGCAATAATGTAATATAATAAATAATTGTATATATATTTATATATGTATAATATATATACATAAAGTTACAACTGACCCTTTGAGTGCAACCTTAATGATAAATGTGGCCCCCGATGAAATTGAGTTTGACACTCCTGATATACACTCTAAAATACTCCTAAAAGATCAGACATACAGCAATATAAATATATACGTAACTTGCCAGTTGGCGAGACCCTCCCCCGGGGTCTACGCTTAGGACTGTGAGTCTCCCAGCTGTGAGTCACTCCTGATTAACACACCCGCCCATGCAGGCGCATTCACATCACATTATTATTGCTATCAGGAAATGTAAACCTAACTCTGGTCCGCCCAATAGTACACTCTAAAAACAAATGCCTTGGCTCAACAAAGAAAATCAACGCAACAGTTTGCATCGATGTTTATTGAGTTAAGACAACTTCTAATGAAATTGTCTTAAAGCAACAAAGTTATTTGAGTTAGGGGAGAAGGCTTTTCCTTTACAATCAGAGGTGTTTTTAATTACCACTTAAATTGGTAGCATAAACATAAGTTGATTACTCAAAAAATGAATTTGTTCTGACTAGTTTTACCCATGGTTTTACCACATGATTTAAAAGGAATTTTAAGTTGTATGTACTTAATTACCCTCATTCGGGATACACGTTTTTAAGTTGATTACTCCAAAAATGAAGTTGTTCCAACTGGTTTTACCGCTTGATTTGAAAGGAATTTTAAGTTGTATGTACTTAATTACCATCATTATGAACAACCATTTATAAATTAAGTTGCTTCAAATATATTGTATTCAATTGTTAGTTTTTTTTAGCTTTTTTACATGTTTTTGCCTTTAAAACATTTTTTTTTTATTAATTCCACAACAAACATATTAGGCAATTNCAGGTAAACGACAAGGCAGCCGGATGGCTATAGTTCTCGCGATACTTCATTGTATTGTGCTATTTTTGAAAAAGGAAAAAAAGAAGAAATTGACTAAATTCATATATTGCTGAATGGGTGGACTGCCAAACAGACTTGCATTCAATGACAATCAAATAACGATCTTACCTCTAAGGAAGCATGTCCTTGATCTGCTTCACGAGATTCATTTTTAATAAAAGAAACAGGATACTCACAATAGTAACAAAGTATTTTACTCTCACAGTGGCCTCTACTACTTTGTATCCTCTCACAGAACTACCTTCATAGTTCGAAAGGCATGCTTATTTTGGTCAAACGCAATTTGCTATACAGTGCAACAAGGCTATCTACTGTATTTGAATGAACCAAAAAGATCGACCTCACCTTAAAACTGTCCTTTGTATATTTCATTTGTCTTAACTGTTGTGAGCTTATCCAGGCAATGTTAAGTGGGAGTGGACTTGAATCCTTACACTGAAGGTGTAGAACAATTAAGTTATCAAGCCAATTGGCTTTACTTCACTACAACTTGAATTTAGGTTTTAAGAGACTTTAACCAGAAATCATGAGTTCAAATTACCACGACAATATCTAAGTTGAGTAATTACCAAATTATTACGGTCAACACAACTTATATTAAATTAATGTTTGCAACTTCAAAATGTTTATCTGAAATCAATTAACTCACATTTTTAATCTTGCAACCCATGCATTTAATTAAGTGAGGTGAAAGGTCGCACTGAAACTCGTTTTTAGAGTGTGTCAGATCACTACTTCTCTGATTCTTTAAATCAGGGTCTGGGTTGGGGATCTTGGGATTCATCCACTTAAAATTTGCACAGTCAGTCTCATTTTAACTATGTTCCCGTATAAATACTCATCTTGTGGGATGTATTTGGCTAAGTGATTTGAGTGATCACTGTGTCTGTAGCAACAATTAGGGACACAAAGGGTCCAAAAGGGTAAACCTCGCATTATCATTAAGAGAGACATAAACATTTGTGGAGCAGGATTTTGTGATCTATTGGTTTTGATTGGGGAAAAATCCATCTGTGTGATGATGTTGAAACTGCATGGTCTTATTTTTATCTTGGTTTTATGGAAATTATTGATAGACATGCACCCCTGCGTAAATTTAGAGTGAAGGGATGAGATAATCCTTGGTTTTCTGCTGAATTGTCTAGTCTCCTACATGAGAGAAACAAGGCCTGGGCAAAGGCTAGGACATCAGGCTTAGAGGTAGAATGGCTTCGTTTTAGGCAGCTAAGAAATAGCTTCACATCACAAATCAAAAGTGCTAAGTCTAATTATTATCTGTCAGTGACCACAAAGAACCTGAATAATCCAAAACATTTTTGGAAATCCATAAAATCGTTATCCACCGGTGAAATCCGCAAAGAGCTACCTCCTTGCCTTACCAGCATCTGGCACTATATCGGACAGGGCCACCATGTTAAATTGTTTTAATGAGCATTTTGTGTCCTGTGGCTCTCTGTTTGATTCTGTTTCTAACTCTGCTACTGTGAACACCACAGTCTGTGACTCTGAAAAACGTGGTTTGGAAAACCCTTTCAGTTTTTCTCCTTTTTCTATTGAAGTCGTTCATGAAGTCTTAACCAAGTTAGATCC